CGTGTGCGGCTCCCATCGCATCAACGTTGAGTCAAACATTTCCAGCACGCACTCCATCTCTTCATCCTGCAGAAAGATTTCACCGTTTCAGATTCATTTTGGCGAAGTCCTGGCACACGTCTATCGCATTAAATGTAGCTATCATAGTGGTTACCAGTCCCGGCACGGGGAAGGCGACGAGCCTGGTGAGAGCGCGGGGATGTGGGTAACGCCAGGCCAAAGCGCCGACCGACGCGCGCACCTGGTACGCCATCGGCACCTGACCGCCGCGCACCAAGCGGAAGGCACCACTCCTGCATACACGCACATAATTCAAAATAAACTATTAACTAAACATATAAAAAACAAAATAAACTATTAATTAAAATAAAATATAAAATATTATTATAAACACATTCCAAATAAACTATTAACGGTCGCCTACACAGTATTTATTGGTTATTTTAAGAGTCGTCTAGTGTACTAAGTAAACTGTAGATACTACATACTACAAATACTAAATTTCCACTAAGCGCCGCCCTTAGTAAAAATTACCTAAGGTCATCCTTGTAGTAATGATCTGCAAGATCCTCGAGCGAGTTGATAGATGCTGCGGATGCTGCAGACGATGTACTAGGTTTCTTTTCACCGTCGTTATTCCACGAATCTTGGTTATCGCTCTGTAGATAATATAAATTGTTATTTAATTTCTTTCTTTTGAAGAAACCTTTTTATGAACTGAATCCATTCATGTAATTGTTAGTTTTACTTTTAAAAACTGCTGTAGTTGCAGGACGGCGTGGTGCAGCGCGGAAAGGGCTTCGAGGTCGCCGGGGCGCAAGTCGAGTGTGACGGCATCCGCGTACAACGCGCCACGCACACCTCCTGCGCCGCTGCTACCGCCCCCGGTCGTGCCCCCACTGCGCCGCCACCCCTCCCATGTCGCTACCACCGTAGCCCTACACAATATCAAACATTTTTGTAATTATTTCGGAAACAAATTATTACAATTATAAAAAACAATTATTCAATGTGAAAAGTTAAATTAATTTGTTATCAAAGGTTACCAATGGGGCTTATATTTACCCGACATTCACTGGCAGCAGTACCGGTCTGCGGGCGTCGCAGGGCGCGCCTGCGGAGGCGAACATCGAGCGCAACAGTACGCGTGCGTTGAAACGGTCAGGGCGCACCGCGGCGGTCACGTGCGCGCTCGCACTTGTCCAGCCCGCGGACCCCGCGGACCCTCGCACACCCACCTGACCCGTGTTCAGTGACACATTCGCTAGGCCGTGGTTCGCTGCAATTAACATGTAAGCATTATTACACACGCAAATTTACATTTTAAGATGAAACGAAATTCCGATCGCGAATTTTAAAACTAATTTGGGAAAATTTCATATGGGAAACACTTGAAGGGAAAATTAAAGTGAGGCATATTCTTATTTAAAAAAAGATAAATGTATTATTGAGAAATCAATACGAAATGTAAACACTTACTCATTAATTTGCGTAATTTCCTCAAAGACGACTGAGTTGTATCTTCCTCTGCAATCGTTTTCTCCTGTTTCAATTGCTTATTGACCTAATTCATAAAGGAGACGTTAAAATTATTATTAAAGTACATTTTTTTTATAATCACAGTCTGATGTATTCGATTACTTACCAACATAATTATAGTGTGGAGACGGATTAGTCGGTCCGTGCAAACATCAAATAGCACAGGTCGCTCTATATCTAGCTGGAGCGTGCCCCGCGCGTTCGATATTACCGTAGTAGATATACCTATAAATTCGATATATATATATAAAAATACCGTAATGGCCGTCATGCATGGAATTTGACGTGCCTCTGTACGTATGCAATTATTTACGTGTGCGTGCGTACACGCGTACACGTGCGTTTGTGTACGTATACAATACGTACTGGTTGTGGGTAGAGTTGCTCTAAGTGTGGCGAGGGCTGGTGGAATGTCGGTGAGTGGGTCTCGATTGCCGCGCTCCGTGCTTAGCAGCACTCGACGCGTCGTGCCTCCCCCAAGCGCCACGCCCGCGTCAAATAGCGATACCTAAATTAGAGCGTATGCAAGTTGAACATAAAATGTTTACGAATACGAATACTTTTCGTTTGATTATAATTTACAAGGCAACTTAGTTTAATATGTCCCTTCCTATATGTACCTGTAACGTCCTCTGTGTTTCTTTTCGCCAGTAGTACAGATTTGGTTGTTGCAAGCTAATATGAATCATTTGCAAGTAACCCTCCGATTTCCTGGCCTGGGGCAAAGGATTCTGAAAACATCAATAGCGCTTATTAAAAGAAATAATATCTTTTTTAAATGAGTTATTAAAAAGACGTCACGAGACGTTAAAATGTTATTTAGTTTACGCATTTTTTTATTTGAAGCGACTTACCGTTAAGTCAAAGTGAGTTTTGTCGATATCAGTGCTTTTGATGTCGTCTGGTGCGATCGAGCTGCCGGCGGTCGCTGACTCGCGTCCGTCTTCTTTTTTACTCGTTTCTTTAATGTCTTTGAAACTAACCTTTGAAAAACAAAGATTTATTTTTAGCATATCACCGTGATGGCTGTTCAATAGACAAAAGATATTTGTATGTATAATTACAATGGGGCGTGGCTGGTCTTCGGGCGCTGTATTGTCATTGGGAGAGGCAGTGGTTGAGGCGGGGCCTGGTGTTGCGCTGGGCGGGGCCGGCACCGGCACGTGGTCCGACAACGGCGGTTCGCGAGCGCGCAGCGGCGCTAGTTCGCTGCCGCCAGTATCCGCCGCGTACAAACACGCTTCGATCACTCCCATTGTTACAAACAACTCAAAATGTTCCCATGGATCGACCCTGTGGTAAAATTAGTCGATTGTAATATTTTATATAAAAAAATTTACTATCGATGGCTAAAAAGAAATGACTGTACAAGCCACGGTGTTTGCTTATTCTTTTGTCACCGCCATCAATGTTTGTTATAGAAATCTTAATTACCTATGATCTGCGAGTGCAATGGACACATTTTTCTTGATAGGTCCCAAGGGCTCGTCACTTAAGCTATACTTAGCGGCGCAGTGCGAAGCAGCCGACGCCACACCTGAATCCATACCTCCTCGCATCGATTCACTACGCGCTGTCCACGCTGTAATGTTATCTTTACATGTAGATGACCAATGCTAAGACAAGTTATTAAGCTTAGCTCAAAAACTGACATGCAAAATTAATTATTCAATGGCGATGGTAATTGAAACTACAAATATAACAGCGAAAGTACAAAAAGAATTCTAACGAGAGACAGGAATGGAGTTTGCTTGCGTTGTAGGCGTCACTGTCGCGGAGGAAGCCGTGGGCGGCATGGCCGCTGTGTCTGGCCAAGGCGACAGCGGCTCGGGGATCAGCTGCGAGTAAGGGCAAATGTTCGACTCCTCGTCAGCCTCATCTGCATCAACGTCTTCCTGCCTGTTAATTAGATATTTTTTTAGAACATTTATCGCCTTATTATTGTATTCGTGTTGTTGTGTACATTTGTATGTTTCACTCCTAAACCACGTTTCAATGAAATTTTGGTAGAATATTTTAATTTGTGTCCTATAATAATTCCAAAATTAAAACTTATTGCATGCACTATGATTTTTTGATTATTTTGTGATTTGACTTTGGTATTGCATTTATTTCTCGTATACTGGTTACTCTCTAATCCGAGTTTCTTGCTTATGAATGAAGTTCGTTTTTTTGAACCGGACAATATATCTAATTTATAAAGATATCTCGCTTACCCGTGTGCAAGTGCTTCCCGCATTGAATCGCTGAGGGAGACTAGTAGTCCGAGCTGGTGCAGACCGAGCTCTATCGAGCAGTCGGAGGCAAGGTTGATCTCGAACGCTGGCCCGCATGCCACTGTCGGCCCTTCCTCCTCGCAGACCACCACCGCAGGCGCTACCACACATTCCACGTCGACACTGTAACACAACATTATCTTTAAAATCTACAGTTTTCTAAAAGTACATAGGAGAATGATTAAAATAACACAACTCACGAATGCACTATCGGTGTGATGACAGGGGAAATCGTTGGTTGACTCCATTTTAAAGCTGGATTTTCTCCTCCTGTGCCTTTCATAATTTCTGCTTCGCTAACCTGAAAATATAACAACAGTACGTATACAACAATGCATCCAAGTTACGAACAAATTGTATGTTATTATAGAATATTTCGTTCCAATCAAAACGCGAACCCATCGAAATAATTTAAAAAAAGTAAAATATCTGATTTAAGATTAGTCAATTATCTGATAATTTAATTTTGGTGTATCTTTGGAAGTATGTTATTGTTACCTCTTGTCTGACAAGCTGATGGAATCGTGCGGAGCGCAGCGCCACGCCCCGTGCGAGCGCTTCATACTGTCGGCCATCGGGGGCGCTTGCGCCTGTTACCCATCCGCTTGTCTCCGCGCACGCGTTCACTACACGTCTAGAAATAGGATACAAATCATTATATTACATTAAAATTTTAATTTGATTAACTTTATTTTTACTATTCGAATAACTTGGAATATTTTTTTTAAATTTAATAATATACGCACCTGCAAATAGGGTTCTCCGGATGTGGATTAACAGTAACTTTTCCGATCTGAAAGAAAAAGGAAAATAAGCTATTAACTGAACAATAAAAATTACAACATTTATGTATTTAGAATAGCAAGTATTTTTTATTTTACTAACAACAAGCATGAGGGTGTCATCTTCCGCGCTCTCGGCCCCGTGCTCTGTAAGCAACAGCCGCAAGCCACCGGCAGACATGTAGAAGAATGGAAGCTGCCATTCGCTGCGACTGAAATGATAATATTAGATACTGTAGTCCCAAACATCTCTGTTTTATCAAAGATAATGAGAGGGATGGCAATATGTTTTATGAGGAGATTATGATCTCAAATCAAATCAATGGTAAGAGAACGCATCTTTAGTTCATCTATTATGTTCAAGAGTGTTATTGATAATTTAACATTGGATTGTATTCTTGTATTCTTGCGTTATTTATATTGATTTTGTATAAAACATAATGTATATTACAGTGGGGCGTGTGTCCTAGCGAGGTATGAGTGTGGGCGTGGCGCGGGCGGGCGCAGCGGGCATGCGGCGGTGCGCGGGCGCAGCAGACGCATCACGGCGGCCGCTAGCCGGACCACGCTCGCCTGCACTACTGCCTCCAGTGGTGCCAGTGTTACGTACACCTCCCACATACTGTCCGCCCCTTGCTGTATACAAAAAACAAAAAAATATCATTAGCCAGTAATATGCTTATATCGATTATTTAAGGAACCTTTTAAATGAAACCAACTTGTATAGTGAATTTCTGATTTAATAGCCTTTCTTTTCTGCATTTTCTTGAAAGATTGAATGTGTATTATTAAGAATATTGAATAATAAATTGCGAGTTAATTTATAGGCCTCTTCTCTAAATAACTAGATAATTAAAAAAAAATATATGCAAACTTACAGATTTCTGCTCCAATAACTTAGGATGTAGCTCTTCTCTCCAGCTGGCTGGTAGATTAGATATCCTGAAATACAAAACACATTGAGATCAATTAATAAATCGCTCTGAATACATTACCACATGTTATTATTATATTTTTAACTATTTATACTATAATACTGACTTTGCTTGCGTGACAGTGAGGGCTAAGAAATGGTTGTCTTGTTTGGAGTCAAGAGGCTCCCGAGCTTCAAGCACCCGGCCTCCCATAGCGCCGGCTTCCCATTCATCGCTCTCCGACCTACGAAAATTTTAAACCTTATTAGCCTAGAGTTTCAATTTTGATACCAAATTTTTAAACCGAATGTTCACATTACTATTAGTTTTTTGTATAGGTTGGCTGTACCTATTTTACTGTTGTATAATATTCTTTCTAATGAAATTAAAAAAAAAAAAACAAATTTCATTGTTGTTTTATTTATTTTTAGTAATATTAAAAATAAATCACTTTCATGTAAATCAGGCTACTGAGAGTTAAAAGAACTTTTCATTTGTGTGTAAAAATATATTAACAAGTCGATACTAGATAACGAATAATGAACGGGAAATCGACAAAAGGCAGTTAGCAACTATTCGAAACTTACTTATGTATTCTGTGTATTTTGTGTCGCATGCTTACCGTCGGAAATGACGTAATGAGGCTGAAGCAAGCTTCAACTTTAACTGACTGTAATGTGGCTGCAGATCCACTGTCGCTATAATATCGTCCACGTCAGCGGCTAGTCGCGCGCGACCAGTCGATACAGCGACCGTCGCACGCGATATTACCCACTGCACCCATATGAACGTCTTTGTCTCTACTGCAAAACAAATGGAAATTTATTTTCAAATATAATAATAAAAGCTTCTGTATAAATAAACTAGTGTTGAATTTAAACAAACACATTTGTCTTCAGTAAATTTTATACATAAACTTACATTTTATAGCGCTCGCTTCAAATATTGGAATAAGGTCAGATCTGTTGTCACTAGGCGTCCTTTCTGACGGCGTTTCTCGTTCCTCCTGCTCCGATACAGATCTAAAGAAATAACGGTATTGTTGCATTAGTTAATTTTAACTTACTTTTTAATGAACCACAACGTCCACTGGGTAATAATAAACTGCGTTAAATAACTTTGTAACCATTTATAACAAATTCTTGTTTTAATAAAAAAAAAACTTAGTTAGCAGCCTAAGTGTTCTACCAGACCATTTTATACATGTACAGACCAAATTACATCGAGATCCGTTGAACCGTTCTGGAGATACCAAATATCGGATCCGATATGTAATATCAATTTACAACAGATATTTAATTATCATATACCTTATGAGTGACTTGTTGATAGCAGGAACAACAGGCGGATACGTGGGAGCGGGTGTAGGGACGGACGAGCGGCGCAACAACAGCGCTAAGTGCGTCAAACAGTGCAATGCGTCCGCTAACACGCCCACCTACATATCAATCATATATTTTCTAGTATTTATCACAATAAACAAACAATAGTGCAGATGCAGCAATTACTATCGTGGATAAAGTGATAAATCTTATTTAAATTATGTTGATTATGTAATTCACAAATATTTGAATACCTGATCTTGGTCTAGATGTAGCGTGATGGGGGGCGTGTCCGCATGAACATGCACGCCCAGTGATACCACGGGCCCGCCCGCAGCCGGCGCCGCCGTCGGCTCCGGGCTCGCTTTGGTCTGTATACAAAATAAAAACCTTACAACTCACAATAAATCTTAATGAAAAATGATGAATACTCGTATTGACTACTCTATAGTGTTTCTATAGTGTATAAAATCCCCTTACATAAACAGCTTAATGGTATATACAAATGTTAACTAAATGAAATTTAGATTTTAGATTTAGATACTTTGCTCACCTCCACATTCGTTCGCTTGTGTCTGAAAACACAAAATAAAAGCAAACAATTCGAGGGCGGTAAAATAAAATTGATTTAACATTATTAAAAAGAAATCGAACATACTTAGAAGGACCTCGGATGAATTCCTTCAATGTTGAAGGCTTAAAGTCAACTCCGCTTGTGAAATATTTAACTTTCTGTGGGGGGAAAATTAAATGTGAATTATTGAATGACTGATGTATTTGTGACTGGGTATAAAATGTTTGCTTTGTTTTACTGCCGCACTCGGTGCCGTTAAGTTATCACTAAGGAACACCCTTAGTATACAATACATGTAAATGATTGTGCATTTGTTTGTTGTACATAGAAGTGCAGTTACGGCTCTGAATGCGGCAGTTAGTTTAGTGAGGATTCGTATGAGTTACCTCGTCGTGGGCGACATGTGGCGCGCGTTGCGTTGGTGTGGGCAGCCGCACCGACAGAGACTTGGTGACTATGGAGAGGGTGACTGTGGTGGTGAGGAGACCGAGGAGGGCGCGCGGGGCGGTGCTACGCGTATCTTTCAGCGCTCCGCGAACACCCTCCGTCGGCCGCCTCGCCTCCAGCGTGTAGCACGACACGTCAGCAATGCGCACGCGCCACGGAAACGAATCCACTATATCAAATAAATATTTATTCATTAGTAACATGATATTTGCATTTATCTTTATTCGCAGACTAACTGGTAACTTACGCGTAAGCTCTGGCTTTGCTGCAATATAGGTGGGGCCGTCATGTCTGATATCGTTCCAGAGGTGTTTGACCATTGCGTTGGAATGCATTGTCAAGTGTCCCAGACTGCAATAATAAAAACATTTTTAAAAACATGAATGTTGTTGATATAACGTAAGTAATATATGTCAACAATGCTGTGTGTACAGAAACTTATATATAGGTATTTAGTAACGAATAGGATAAAAACTGATCAAAACGTGTCGAAAAATTTTTTTAAAGAATTGTAAATCTTGAAGTACCTGAATACTAGGACTGGTTTGTTCGCCGCGTGGCTCTCGATAGCGTCGCGGAGTCCTGCGAGGCCTCCCATTCCCCGTAGGGGGCGAGAACCGCGTGCAGGTACACTCTGAGCGGGCACGTACACTTGCACGAGGCCAAGCTCGCAGCACGCCAGCGCGCGCCGCAGACGAGCGTGCATCTGCACCGCGTGCTCTCCGCTCCACCACCACGCTACTTTCTTGCCCTAAACGAGGATATGGTTCATACAATATGCGCTGTCTATTTCTTTCAAATAAGTATAAAAGTTTTCTTGTGTATCGTAGTATTGAATACGGTTGTTACAATACGTACGAGCGTGTAGCGGGTGTCGTTTGGCCGCGGTGTGGGCGGCGCCTGCATGAGTTCGGTGCGCTCGGCGCTGGAGGCGGTGCTGCGAGGCCGCGCGTGCACCTCCGCCCCCGAGCCCGCACGACTGCCGCCTCGACCGCTCGAAGACTACACACCCAAATATTGAAACGTTATATCGCGTGGTGATATACCAGAATTTGACTTAAAATTTTTGTTTGACCAAGGTTTTTACTGATACTACTTTTTAAAGTATTCTAAATTACCTCAAAAACGGTCTTTAGGAAAAGTAAACATTTACTCACTGGTGGTGTGGGGCGACGCAGCATTGAATGGAGGGACGATGACACGGATTTTCCAGTAATTAGATTAGATTGTGAATCCACTGTAATGATTTTTGAGAAAATATATTTTTATCAACATTTTTTGCCTTATTTATGTTATAATTTAAATAGCTATAAAATAATAAGCTATTAAAGTACAATGAATAAGTCAGACCGCTTGATAGTGTGACACGGGGCAAATAGGCCAATGCTGCGAGCAGTAGCGGGTCGGCGCTAACCGCAGTGGGCTCGAGCCACGCCCCAATGAACTCCACTGTCCTCAGCTGTTCAGACTCCTCCTTCCGAGCAATAGACCCCGCCCCGACCCCCGCATCCGTCTCCCACTGCATCGCCATTCGTAAGTACGGTCTGAAATACCGTGGAAGATTTGAAGTGTATAAAATTATGACGTTATGCGGACATGTCCTTTATTAAGTTTTTTTATTATTTGTATTATGGTACAAACAAATCATTATCTTGTTTATATACTGGAGGCATACGTGCGTAAAAAAAAATAACTTACGAAGTTGTCGGAGCCTCTGGACCGGAAAACAGCCAGGCTTGTTTGTTTTCGCCATCTTCTGGAAATGAAATGGAACTTTAGTAGTACATCAGTGACATACAGACTCCTCATCACAACTGTGTTATATTTATGAGTCATTAGCACCGTCCAACTTAAATTCGTGGTAACACGATTGTGATCATTTTGGTAAGCACTACTTTAAAAAAAAAATGTATGATTTATTATTAACTCTTATATACTGTTGCCAATGAAAATAGCTGTTTCTTTACAGATTTATAGGGCTAAATACAAAAGGATCCTCAAAATACTTACTGGGCGTGTGTATAGCGGAGGCTCTTACGGCGTGCAGCGATATTATATTCGTGCGGAGGCCGAGCGTCGCGTATCCACGGAGTGTCAACTGCTCGAGTGACGCGTCCAATGACACCATTTCTAAAACCACAACAGATTTACTGCTGCTAAATTGTTAAGTGGCTACCTAATCAGTCATTTATTGTACATTTCCATGAGTAAAAATACACTAAGGAGCTCTCTCAGAGACAAATAAATTACTTAAAATAAGATCACCGGCTTCGGTGACTATAAGAAACAGTGGTATAAGTCTTTTCAAATATCTTGGTGTGTTGTATATGTGCGTGTACTACACCGTGTCGTACCTTCGTCGTGCAACGCATCATATACGAGCGTGGTGTTGTTCAACAAGTTGGAGGGGCGAGCTCTGCGCAGTGCTGTCAGAATCTCATATGCAGCTGTAAGTCTCGCTACAGAACCGCAAACACCCGCTTCTCCTGTAAAATAAATGTAGCAAATCTTTAATACCTTTAACATCCATAATAGTTTTACTGTTAAAAATGCTGAAATTCGAAAACACCAATATAATTATTAAAATCAACTCTTGTTATAAAACTATTGTATATTAACATATGCAACCCTTATTTTCTTAATTCACTGTATCTCACAATTTAAATGAAAATACTGATAATAAAATATCGTAATGGCCGCCAATATTGAATTTGACGACTATGTACTTAATATCGTAATTTATACTAACGTATGTTGAATGTGTAGCTGTTGTGCACTGTGGCGTAGTGTTTGAAGAGATGTGCGTGCAAGAGGCGGTGTGAGGTGGCGCGGATGTCCGCGTGGGCGATGGCCTTCGGAGGCGTGTCGGCGGCGCGCACGCACGCAGTCGCACCATTCACGTTGAGCGTCACATGCGCCCGCGCACAACTCCACACTAAAGCCTCGTCCTCGGGCATCTGACATGCCGCCGAGCATACTCTAAGAAACATCAATCTTTATTAGCCTTAACTTTTTCGGGGCAGATAAGTTTGTTGCATCATATGTTTTGTACCTGTATGTGTACAAGGGTGCCGAGATGGTGGCCACAGCTAAAGGCAGCTCGAAGTCCAGAAGCAGAGGGGACGCGGCGCGGTGTGACGGCGGCGGGTGCTGCCAGGGCCATACGCGCACCACCAACCCGCTCACTTCCACGTCGCATCGCCGCTGCGGAACGTTGTTAGACAACGCCTCGCATTCCTCCAGAGTCAGAGTGCGTATTGATTGCTCTGATGAAATATTATATACAGTTATTGAGAGATTACTGATCATCTAAGACTAAATTTCAAATCAAATCGAGTCAGGTGGTCACGCACGCCTTGTCTCGATTCGGCCTGTATGACCCCTGGGTCCCTGAGGGGGATGGATGGTTACAAGTGATTGTGAACTGACCGGGTTCCTGGTGCGGAGGCAGGTGTAGCGCCAGATCCGCGACTGCCGCCACCCTGTGCAGCAACCCACCGCACACCTCCAGCTGCAGCGGCTGCACGCGAATTGATATGCTGCACTCTTCCGCCCAGTCGCTACACAAATTATAACAGAATAATGTTAAATGTTACTATTTTTAGTGCTGAAATCATTGCTTGTAATCTGCAGGTCCTGGGTTCGAATCTCACCATGTACCAACGTGTTTTTCGATTTACATAATGTGTACATCTAACATCCTTACTGTGAAGGAAAACATCGTGAGATATGTGAGAAGTCAACCCGTACAGGCTCAGCGTGCTTGACTATTGCTTAATTATCCCTAACTTAGGGTAGGTTCCGAGACCCTCAGTGGGGAGGTGTAGTGAGCTGACGATGGCGATAACTTGTACATTTATATACTAAGCATGATGGTGTACAATTGTACCTGTATTCAAAGTCCAGTGGTGGTTTGTCATAAGGATTGATGTGTGAATCCGGCGGCGCTCGGTCGTGGCAGTACTCGATAAACACCACAGGTGCCATTTGCTCCCATAGCTCGTCATTGTCCCCATCCTGGGGCACCTCTTTCCACCATTGAGTCTCCATTAGATTACCTTCTGATGCTTCCTGATGAAAAATATAATCATACATTTTTAGAAAAAATTAAATTAACTATAAAACATTTGATGTCACAAAATATTTCTTTTTTTAATTATATTCAAACTAATGCTAATTATTTCTATCGACATTTCAAAATATTATAAATTATTTTTTAATAAATAAATTTAATTATTTCATAACTTACGTTAGGTTCGGGCGAAGCTCGAAACTGTTCGTCCACCGCCAAGCCCGTCTCCACGGAACGGCCGCCAAAGTTTTCTTCGGGCCAAATCCATGGTTCCTCAGATTTTTCAATGCTGCTCAAATATATTGTCGGCTCGTAATTAGCCTGTAAATAATATTATTATACATAGTTAATAAAAAATTTACATTGTATTGTCACCCGCAAACTCCGTTCGCACAGAATTAAAAAACTTTGTTACCAGCCGATGTATTCTTCCAAACCAAGTTCTCCATACATGTTAAATTTTTCTAAGATCAGTTGTGGAGATTCTTGTTTAGTAAAAGAACTTCTAACAAAGATCCATCCGTTCATACAACGATACATCTAAACTTTCGTATTTATGAAATTAGTAAGTTAACTTACATGTGTGGGTAGCAGTTGACCGCAGACGCACTTGCCGTGCGCGCGCAGTTCCAGCAGACGTGCACCGGCGCGCAGACGTAACGAGGTGGGCGCGCACTTTGAGAACTTGACGGCCGTGTGCGTGGCCACCAGCTGCAGCACGGGCCGCGCGCGTCGCTTACCGTTCATGTCTGTCTCCATCATCTGAATAGAAAATCATTATTATAATACCAAACATTTCCATCTAAAGCTGTTTAATTTTAAATTATGCTATACTAAAAAAAAATTGTGATAATTTTCTTGTTTTAATTAATTATAAAAAAGAAAAAGATTTTTTGCATATGAACCCTAATCCTGGAGCCATGTGGACCGTTTTGTTTGCAATAATTAAAATATAAATTTTTCATGACATATAAGCAACTCACTTTAAAAGTAAAGGAAACATCGTCAAAGTAAACGGTGAATGTCAACGGTACGGGTACGGGCACAGAGGGCGCCACATCCTCGGCCTCGTCGGACGCTGGCAGCCACGACCACGCCCACTCAGTCCAGCTCTCTGTACGCACTCCCTCCAAGGATGTTGTTGATGATCCTACAGACAGACATGAAGCAGACATTATTTTTAGCATGGGTAACTGAACGAAGCCAACATTGCAATAATAAAACGCTCTGATTTTAGTAATCTAAATCGGTACATTTAACCAAACTTACAACGTTCTTTGTACAAAGCTCTTGGAATCATCATTAGAATGACGGGCAGTTTTTTAATTCACTGAAACGTCTACCTTTAAAAGGCGTACGAAACTTTTGGTAACAATTTTAATATGTACAGATAACTGACCAGCCTGTGGTGGTGGTACGAGGAGTGGTGTTGCAGCGGTTGGCGTGGGCGGAGGCGGACGCTCCCGCAGCAGCCGCACGAGCAGCGCCAACTGCTCATTGCTGGCGCCGCCTGCCAGCCGCGTCGCCTTTGCGCGCACCCACACCGACAGCGGACGCAAACGTTTAGCTGATACCAGCCGAGTGAGAACTCTGGAATGTATTAAGTATACATTTTTGAATGTATTTTTTTATAAATTTATGTCTTTTGGTGTTAAGAGCAGTATGAGGAAAGAATTTGATATATTTTTAATCTTCATTCTTCTTATGACTACTTACTTTCATAATTTTTAATTACATATATTTATTTAATTACATATATCTGGATTATTTAAAGGTTTTCCTTCTTCATTCCCTCGAGGGACTTAATTTCGTTTAACATCGTCTTTAACTTGTAAAATTTACACAAATTACACAGTAACAAACAACTCCACAGTAAAATTGCAATGAATATGTGAACGATAACATATAGCATAGCATATATTTATTATTTTAACACGCAAGAAGAAATGAGAAGAGGAAAAAATAGAGCCGAGGAATTAGAGAAATTATCACAACTGCTGTTTGCTATTGAATACAACTGTTTGCAAACGACACTTACAAAATACAAGTGAAGTAGAAACATTCACACTTCTTAGATTCTGTTTTATATATAAAGAATTATCAATCCCATAATATTCATTAACAAAATATTTATAGTATAAACAATTTACATATCACAAATTACAATCACAAAAATACATCGCAGGGCAAAATTATTTATGTGCCAGCAGCATTTAAGTGATATTAAACAATTTTGGTAAATATTTTTTTCATAAAGACAATGTTTTAGCAACACATAAGCAGCCATGAGATAGTCAACGAAATTACGCCCCAATCAAATACCATATCTACATTACTCTTAATTAATATCATAGATTTAAGACTACTCATTAGATTTTTTGTTAGTTTATTGTTAAATATATTCATTAACTTTTATATAACATCAACATAATGTATACCTTACTCTTACTAATATTAAAAATATTCAGTTGATGGATGGATGGATGTTTTTTGATTGAAGGTATCTCCAAAACAGCTGAACAGATTTTGATGAAATTTGGCATACTTATAGAACCTAGTCTGGAAGAACACATAGGCTATTTTTTTAATTCTACACGGACAGAGTCGCGGGCGACAGCTAGTTTCATATAGTTTTCAAATACAGAAATATCATTTACAGAATGGTTACTTGTCACCGATATCCTAAAACCTTCATTGATATCGCTTCATACTAAACCTATACTATAGGTTTACAATTAACAATTTCTTATTTTACATTAGCAACGCGATATGATAGAATTCGCTGACGTTCGCTAGCAAGCGTTTATATTAAATTTACATGGAACTTATATGTAAAGAAATATTTCAATGTAACTTCTCCGCAAAGAATTAAAAACCGCGCTTGTCCTTTTAAAATTAGTTGAGGTCGCTTCAAGTTGAGTTAATATTAAAAAAAAATAGTTCTAACATTCTTTTTACTTCAATTAGCAATCACAGATAAATTATTTTACTGATATGTACTTGCATAAATTAAAATTTTATTATTTCCGATTTTTTATTAAAATTTGTACAGGAAATATTTTAGCACACGTGTAAACTTTCGCATGTTACAATTCATAAAACAAAAATTAAAATTCGCTTCAAATAAATTACTCCAGTATTAATGTGACAATTTTAGTACTATACAGGTGCTCTCAAAAATAAACATAACAATGAACAGCCTAAAATAGATAAAATAGCTCTTGCAACCTTAATTGATAATTTCTGCAACAGCCAATTAGCAAATAATGCTTGTAAACGGTTTTTAATAATGTTACAATAATGTAAAATATGTATGCGCAAATATATCAAAACAAAATTAAGTAAAGTACACATTAATATTACCTAAAGTCTAGCTGACATCTGTAGAGAAGAGGTTCTTGGTAGAAGCGGATCTTGCCATCAGCATCAGCTCGGTCCAGACACAATGTGAGGTCATCCAGGCGGACCAGTCGTCGCAGCGCAGGCTCTCCCACCTCTATGTCTACACAAACACAACAAATACACACTAATAGGACAACTATATACGAGTTTTATTCTTCATTTTCTTTGTTTACTAATATGAAAAATACAAATTACAGAAAAAAACCATAAAATTTTATTATACCAGAATAATTAGTATTGTAATAACATTCCGATTCAACAGAAATTATTACTTTTTAATGACTTTTATATAACTGTACCTGTACCTATTTTGTAACTGTTGTTTCTCATGTTCCTACTTTTACCAAAAGTAATAAGCATGATTTTTCAATAGCCTACTAACAAATTGTCAATTAAATAATTCATAACCATTTATTAGACGATATTTTACTAACCTGCAAATGCGGGATTCCAATTAGAGTCAGCACTGTCGACTGCTAGATGTTTGATGTTCAGCGATAGTACTATATCATCCTGTACATACTTCACAATAAGATGGTGTACCCGCACACTGATGTTGCTAACAACACGGCGGACCAATGCTCGCATATACCCTGGTGGAGCTTCCACTACTTGATTCCTGAAATAAATATTACACTTTAAGATAATATTCAATAATCCCCAACTGTTTGTAACAACTATTGTTCCTGCACCTCCATGAATGGTTCAAATTTTGTTTAAACATTGTCATAGAAGTTATGCCTACAAAAAAAATTGGTAAGAGAACGATCAGAACATATAAATATAACACAATTTGTGATTAATGATATATAATAGAAAATTGACAGCGGACTCAACTCGCAGAAAGAGAATTTTCCTAATGCACATCCACTCAACCATCAAATCCACATCCCCATCCCATATTTTTATTATAAGAAAAGAATGGTCAAAAACCTATCAGGTAATAATCTTACCTTGGTGATTCAGGCTGAGGACTTTCTTCTGGTGGTGAATGAAGACTAAGGATACATTCTGTAACATTAAATATCAAAACTTATTTAAAACACTCTAACTTAAACATTAAAATTGATAGTAATAATGTTCAATAACATATCAATTTTATTAGAAATTCTAACAATCATTACTCTTTACTTTAAAAAAGCTTTAAATTTAAGTTAACAACAATATTATGCTGAACTTTGGGACTTACCTATAGTATCAATAGTTATAGTTATGGGTTCGGACATGATCTTGGTCCATGGTACCCTGATAAGTAGTTCATGTATACGACCAGAGACAAGGGTAAATGGCAGAGCTACCACTTGCTGTAATACATCTGGTTTGAGAACTAGATTGTGAAGTGCAACTCCTCCGCCCCATAGTGATACCTAAAAATATTTGAAGCTTATTTAATAAAGTTCAAAATATAAGTCAAGTTCACATAAAAATTAGTCTCTTTTATCACTATAAGTGTGTGAAACATCCTAACTGTATTGAAAGATATAAATGGATTGTTAAAAAATTATCTCTTTGATATTAAAACAAACTTGTTTCTTACTTGAGCATCTGCTGGCCTGAAGTCCTTCACATATTTCTCAACATAGCTAAGTAATATAGGAGTGATATAAGACTCAATGTTAAACATCTTTGTAGGTTGTATTATAACACAATTATAATTATCATGTCAAATTATTTCTGTAATTCTACATACTCCACACACCTGTAAAACAGTAAATATTATTATGTTGATATTCTTTAAATCTATAATTAATTGCTAAACATGGTACACGTAATAAGTAATTACATTAGCAACAAAAGAAAAATATTAAAATTTCAATTATAAAATAAATATCAGTATTCAATACATAGATATTGTACCGTGCAGAAAAGTAATAAAAACTTTACTGTGACGGCTTTTTAACTTTAGAAATTCATAAAAATTTCAGGATGTAAGGCACAATAAAATTTATTTAACTCGAACACAATACTAAACTATTTGCTTCAATTACTTTAATTTCCTGTTTACCTTTTAGTTTATTAAGTTTCTATCTTTCTTGCTGGAAGTTCGCTAATAGTTTCTTCGTCATTTTACAGTAATTTATTGAATAAAAACCACTATATATAGCTACAGTAATTATTAATCATGGGTTATAATGTTTGTGTTTTTGAATACGCCAAAATTTTGACAGTGACATACCATGGCTGGGTTTTTTACCACAGACTTTATTTGTAATTTAAGTATTAATCAATCAAGGGTGATTTTGAAAACACATTGTTTTGTTAGTTTAACGTTGTACATTTGAACTTAAAAACAATACCTACTTTTATAACTTTAAAAAACCAAGAGAAATGTGAATGTAATGTGTTTGTTACATTAATTTTTTAATATGTTATCTATATTGCACTTATCTGTACTCTTTGTTATTCTTTGGTGAATAGTAAAAAAGGAAAATGTCAAATGATATGATATCAAATAATCAAATAGTTAAATAAGTAAATGTGGTAAATGTGGTATAGTGGTAAAGTTTGCAGCTTGGCAGAGCATTTGTGTTGGCGTTTGGCGTTAAAACGAACTACAGGAGAGGTCGGTGAGTAATTTATAATGTATTTGTAGATTGTGTTGTCATGGTATTTTTGTTTTCCTCATGAAAGAGTGGACTAATATGTTTGAGTTTACTCAATTTACGTTGTTTTATTCAACCTGGGCCGCTTACTATTCTTGTTCATTAACTGTTTTGTCATATTAGTGTTTCTGCTTGTTGATTTTGTTATATAACATATTAAAAAATTAAAAAAAACATTCCTATGATATATGGTGTATTGCAATAAATGGATATCTAACATAATGAACATCTCTTTTATTTTTATTATTTGTTAAACAATGAATCGTTCGCTATATCATTTATTTGTATTCTCAAACATAAAATATTTTGGATAAGAGTATTGTAATTTTCCCAATAAAAAAAAATTAATAACATTTGTTGCAGTCTGAAAATCTTACTAATTTGTAGGTATGTTTTACTTGTAATAGAATACTCAATAGATAGTCTATTATATCGTTTTACCTTATTTAGATACTGCTTTGTTTGGCTTGATTATTGGCATGGCTTCATTAACTATAGAATATATATAATAAAACAATCAAATGAAAACAATGTTTGTTTATGATCAGTTTGATTTGAGACTGTAGGCCCATCAAAGGTAAATAAAATGAAATGTCCTAGTTGTCTATAATATCAATGAGCGTCAGAATATTAGTTATAGGTAATACTTGAACTAATGAATTATTATTATTTTTTGCTTTTTTAATGGATAAATTAGCTTATTTTGTTTCCTTATTTGTATATACACATAACACTACTACATATCCTATTAGCACTGCAGTTAACTTATTAACTAGTTAACTTATTCTTACTAAAAGATCTAACCCCATGCTAACATACGGTAGCCTTCATTAGTGAACAAAATCTGCATTTTTCTTGCATATCTTTCTTCTTATAAATGTAAAAGTTTAGTTGGATGTTTGTTAGAATATGTTCTCTCCACAATAAGGATTTTGATAAAATTTGGACAGATCTTGATTTGCAGTTTTTTTTATTATTCCGCTTAGATGAAGTCGGAGGTGACAGTTAGTAGTAAATGAAGGTTCTATTATTGTTAATATTGAATAAAAACTGTTACTTGATTTGTAATCCTGACTTTTATATAGTGCTAAATATATTGCTACAATATTTATCAACTTTATACATTACAAAGTGTAGAAAACCTTTAAAATGTGGTAAAGGTAAACTTAAGAAAAAGTTGATCAACACAACTGTAGAAAAATTTCATAGGACAATTTTTAACATTGATTGTTTACCTTAAAATGTGGTTAATTAAATTTGACTAATCTTCTTTACTAATATATTGCTATCTCTCACATTTTATTTGAAAATGCAGAGACACCTAAATGTGTCAATACAAGTGACACTGTAGTGGAGTTTCATGTTTCAATATGCACTTAGTCAAAGAGTAAAGGCGAGCGGAGGTGTTTATTCTCTTAGTATTTAAGTTTATGCATAAATATTTATGTACATATATAAATTAAATGTGAAATTAAAAAGAGTTTTCAGTTTTGCTTTTGAGTTGAATTTCAAAAGCACAAATGAGAAAGTAAGGAAAGAGAATTTTGATAACAGACTCTTAACAAAACACGAACGATTTTATCTCCGTATACCTTTGCTTGAACATTATAATAATAGATATGAATATGTTTTTTATACTTAATGACTAGGTTTGTTTATGTTAAGAATTATGTAGTTTAAAGCTTAAATTTATTGACATCTATTTAATGTATTATGTAAATGCAAAAATAATGTAAGTATATTATATTATCATAGTAAAAATAGTAGAAAATGTTTACAGCCCTATTTATAATTCTTTTATAAAATAAAAAGTAATTGTCATATGTGTTATTTCGCTATTGTAACTTGAATAATGAAATAAATGTTTTTTTACTTCTGCATAACAATAAAACTATGTTTTGCAAAAAGCTACATAGCATTTTAAGTCTTTTTGTAAACAGTTAGCATAAATGAATAAGTATTAAGTTTCCAACAACAGGATTTATCTTATATTGCTAACAATGACATGGAATGTACAGCATTAAGAAAAAGTCAATTTTTAATGTCCATAAGAAAAATTACATCACCTATTTGGCAAATCTTAAATCAGTTTGTCCAAATTTAAAAATTATCTTCAATAATTGAACATATCCAAATATAACAACACAACACAATAATCCACGCTCGTAACACCTAGGGGTAGGCAGAGTCCACAGACCTTCATTTGGCGCGACACTCCTTTATATGTAGATCGAAAGAACTATTTTCTTTTTTTTAATTCTCCTTGTTGGGTGTTGTAAAGCTATACAACTTTCAAACATTACATAATATAAACAGCTGGAAAATACCTCAATTATAAGATCAATGCATATTGATGCCTTATTTATGTATGTATCTATATATTTTTAAGTATGTATATTATGTGAAATTATCAAGATATTTAAATATCATGGTTAAATTATTTATTACAAAAAAAAATTGATGGAACATGGAAGAGAATTAAAATTTTTAACTTCCACTTCCTCTATTATTATTAAACGTTTTTATGTATACAGATTATTTATTGAATAATAAAGCAGTCCTTGATCACAATTTTTAATGCGACAATCACAATCTTGTAATGCTGTTGTCCTTGTCTGTTTTGAAGTGGACCACTAATAGCATGGCTTGTGTTAAATGTTAGTGTCATGTTTGGTAATGTTATTTATTTATAAAATTGCTTTTTTTCACTCTATATTGGATATTACTTATATTTAAATTAGACGCATAATACAAATACAATAATGTTTTTTTCTTTGCAGCTCGCAATACTGAGAATTACAGGGCAAATTCTATGTGACCCAAAGAACTATATAAGATTAATGATAAGTGAAGATTTTCGTTACTAGTCGATGTTTCGATGTTCAATAGTTTGATGTTCTAATGAATGGGCGTTTATCAAATAGTTATAAATACTAGTGAACATGTTAACTTAATTTTATACATTTATAAAGATATGCTGAATTTGACAAACAGTTTTTACAGATGCTTGAAGCCCGCATGCGAAAATTTAACTCACAAAATATTACCTTCACTAGCTTTCTCACAATTAAGTTGTAGAAGCGCGATATGCAGTTCTGTATACGATCAGAGATCATCATTCAACCCATTCATTCACAACAGCCAACAGTGCCGGCTGCTTGCTAATAAAAGGAAGAGATTTCGCTCCAAGAAGCCATTTGCTAATACCAATGCGGATATAACAGTCAAGTCAATGGGTGATTCATTCCAGCCGTCATTAAACCATGTCAGTTACGGGGGACAGTTCGATGTGTAAGTATCGAAATTGTATTTTTATTACAATCTTATAATTGATTATTTACTATATAATGGTAACAGATAAATCTATATATATTTTTTTCTTTATAAATTTTTTATACAGTGCAACTGCAACTGTGCAACTATTTACATAGCAAAACAATTGTCAACAACAATTAATATAGTCCTTATGTAATGCAATAAAAACATGAAGGTTATTATGTACTTTTTGTTATTAGATTGTCGGAAGATGAAAGTCAATCATGGATTCAGTTAAATAACTCGGCCTCCACAGCCAATGACAACCGAAGTATACGAAGGGAAATTCCTCCAAATTTTAGAATATGGGAGCCAGTTGGAAAGTGGAGTAATACTTATGACGGTATGATTTACTGCATAAATTAAACAAAATAAATACTATAACTCTGGTCGCGGTGGTATTTGGACCAACCATGCGACGTACATACTAAATTATTATGTGATTTTTTTTATTTTGACATATGTATTTATAACGCCCATTTTGACAAAAGATCAAAAGTTTGTACTCAAGGTTTTGCATATTTAAATGACGCTGTGGTTATAAGGAACTATTAATTATTACGATTGTAATCAAGAGACACATTTAATTATAGTTTTAAATGGTAATCATATAAAGGAGAGTTAAACTCCGTTATTTTTTAAGAAATCTTAATAAATATGCTATAAAAATATGTCAGTTAAATGAAGTTTTTTTTCAGGAAACAGTTTTAAGTTTAAAGTCGTATCATACAATGTTTTAGCACAGTGTCTATTGGAGTCATATCCACATTTGTATAAAAATTGCTATCCGCACGACCTCAAGTGGCACGTGCGAGCATCTCGCCTTTACACTGAAATTCTTCATCTGGAACCCGATGTAAGTGTACTGTCAAAAATCCATACCGTAAAATTCCACGGCCCCCAGGCTACTTCACAATGTGCAAGTAAAAGTAAAATTAAACCTTGTTATAGATACTATGTCTCCAAGAAGTTCAAGCATCACACCTAAGCAGTTTTTACTCAAAGTTTGAAGAGATGGGCTACTATGGTGTTTTTAAACAAAAAACTGGTCACCGAAAAGATGGCTGTGCTATATATTTTAAACGCTCCATGTTTAATCTTGAAGATCATCTTAATGTAAGTAAATCTTATGTTTTGTACATAGTTTATTAACTATGTTATTATAATATAAATGAGACTTTTCCTTAACTACCTTCCTAACGCAATTAGAATTTTCAATCCAATCGATTTAGTTTTTGACAAAAATCATCAATAGAATTTCCTCAAAAATAAATCTGTTCAACATATTCACGAAATTAATTTTCAAACATTCAATATACTATCAATAAAAGGGTCTTGACAGACGGACGGACGGACAACAAACAAAACCGATTTTTTCCTACGAGGTACGGAACCCTAATAATAACGATACCTCATTTTTCTTACTGACTGACAAAACTTTTTAATTCTAAGTTTCACTTCTCTCGTACTGTTGGACTCTGACCTAATCAAATTAGATGAATAAAAAAGTGTTTACTTCTAAATGCCATCAATTAAATCGTAATAACCCATTGTTTATTTCCCGGTTGTTGTAACTTTGATGTCACCAAATATGCCTTAAATGCTCAAGGTTTTTAACTACAATAGATTATTGATATGCAGATATGTTATCGCTTTTGTCAAAAACTCAAAAGAACAAAAAAAAAACTGTGCACAATAGTTTCAAGGACAATACTCTGCCTGAAAATATTATGTACTCCACGTGTCACTGAAATATTCAAAGCGATCAAGAAGAATCAACTATCTATGCTTATAACAGACATCTTCGATCACCACTCCCAAAAAAACTGTGAATTTTGAATATACATTTGTATATGAATGATTACACGTGTACACGAATGATTACACGTGTACACCGTCTCGATCTGTTTCGAAGGTCTTCTATTGTTGTTAGTCAGACAGCACGAGGCTGTCTAGTATCTAGGTATTTAGAACGTTCCCCTTTTGGCTAAAGTATTAAGTACATGTGTTTGTACAATATTAACATATCTCTGGTTACTCTGGATGAAAACTTGCAAAGACTGAAGGGTGATGAACTTTAGCAAATGTTTGTATGGTATAAGAAAACTAGCGTCGGTGGCTCAGGGGTTAAGCACTTTACTTGTAATCTGCAATTCTGGATTCGAATCCCACCATGTACAAATGTGTTTTTTATTTTTGATATTATGTACATTTATTCGATATTGCTGGCTATCCTACTTCTTAGTTTGCCTCTTTTGTATCTGTTTGTTTATACTATTAAAGAAATGTAAGTATCAAATCGGTAACAAACTAAATGTATATATTCTTTTAAATCCTCTAAAATGATTTCTACTAATAAGCCTATAAAGATTGCAATTCCAATGATCCTTGTACATAAGAAGTATGTGTAGGTGGAGTTTTACCAGCCAGAACTGCCGATGTTGAATCGTGACAACGTGGGCATTGCTCTGCGCCTCTCCCCGCGCAATCCCCGCGCTGCCCCCGCGCCCTTCGTCATCGCGACCACTCACCTGCAGTACCATCCCAAAAGGACTGACTTACGTCTAGCTCAGATACAGCTGTTCCTCGCAGAAATTGACCGCTTCGCGTACTATAACGACGGCAAGCAGTGAGTTGCCGTATATCTTAAGTAATAGTAAGATAATCGTATGCATATTAAGCTACAAATTTTTAAAATTGCTCAGGCAAATGTATGAGATGTGTGATCATAGCGACTTTTTTTTCTTTGATTTTGTGTAGTATGTAGTTATTTATTGCGACTGCTAATAAATGTTTTGCGAAATGTTTACTTGTATAAAGCGTATATGTGTGTGTACTTTTTTTAATTTCTTGTTGAAATGATAAATCGTAATACTTTTCAGAGCTGGATACTACCCAATTATCCTGACGGGAGACCTGAATTCACCACCCAACAGCGCTATCGTACAGCTACTAGGAAAGGGACATGTTTGGTAATTATTATTAAAACAATTTATTGTACGACGATAATTATATTATATATTTGTATAAAGAAAAAAATACGGTTATAACACAATATTCATCTCGTTTTACTTAAATTTAGTACACAAAAATCTATAATAATATTAAAAATTGGAAGAGTTTGTTTGTTTAAACGCGCTAATCTCAAGAACTACTGGTCCGATTTGAATTTTTTTTTTGTTGGATAGACCATTTATAGAGTAAGGCTTTAGGCTATGTAACATTACGCTGCGACCAATAGATTTTTTTTTTAATTCCGCGCTGACGGAGTCGCGGGCGACAGCTAGTAAGAAATGTAACTTACATCTATGAAAAAGCTTCTGGATGCGCATGACGTACCTTTATAACTATCACTAGACGCATAAAATATATAGGATTTTTGTTTCAGCGCCGCTCCTTTCCGAGATGATTCAGATTGGAGTAGAATAGGTGTTACCGACAACTGTCAACATCTTTCCGTGTACTTGAGTCGACAGAGAGGCCTCACTGCTGACACCAGTATGTTAAAGGTAATCATTTCAATTTCAGAGGGGTAGGCAGAGATTATAGATTTCCATTTGTTAAGTTTCGTTAGATCTTACTAATATTATAAATGCGAATGTTTGGATGGATGTTTGTTAGGAGGTATCTTCAGAACGGTTGTATGGATCTAGCTGAAATTTGGCATAGTTTTAGAACACAGACTGGAAGAACACATAGGCTAATAATTAAGTTTATATTTATTCAGCGCGGATCTTTTTGTTCCAGATTTTCAACTCTGAGCACAATAAGGGCTACTTGCCCGCTTCCGAGTCTGCTGACGGTACAGAAAAGTACGGCGCGATGTTCAACAGCGGAGTGCTGACGCATTCGCTGCGCTTCGCCTCTGTGTACGGTCAGCACAAGCCTGATGGCGCACCGGAGGCCACCACCTTCCAAAACTGCTGGCTCACTGTCGACTATATATATTTTAGGTATGGAACTGATATTGGATTTATTTTTTCTTTTATTTTTTAATAGTGAACGAGAATAGAATTGTTTATTTGACCCATTATTATTAAAAGTGCAATGTTTCAAATGAATTTGTTTTGTTAAGAAATGAACACGAAACTACAACCATTTATATTTTCATCGCAAATATTATGATTTTCCTATAGGGAAGAAATCCACAAATATTCTGAATTTTAGCTCTAAAATTAGATATTGTTTATAAAATTTACGTAATATTTTGGAAAAGTGCTTGATAATTGGTTACAGTCGCTGCAGTACGCTGAGACTATTGGAGCGTCTCCGTTTGCCTACAGAAGAGGAATGTATGAAGATGGGACCGCTACCTAACCACGTGTACGGCTCCGATCATCTAGCGCTCGCAGCTCTCTTCGAAATCAAACCACCGAATTCCAATTTATAATACGACACGAAACACTCACGATATCTAAACCGCGAAAGCGAAACGAAAGCGAAACTGCAAATTTGATTATGAAAATTCACTGTAGTCGAAACCGACACTAAAATTTGTATTATATAAGTGTCTTTATACAAAAAATATTTTAATACTAGGATTATCCTTTATTAGCTTCGGTAGTTCTCCGTCTTACTTTTTTTCTTCTAAAAAGTTCTTTTCTAATTTTAGATGAAAACTAATTTCCTAAAAATTTTAATCTCTTTGACGTTGAAACGTGAAATATATTTTTCTTGCAATTTTGCCTATGAATATAAAATAAAAGTATTTTTACAGGTCGCGGAATTTTTTATTGTCAATGTATATTATAAGAATATTGTAAAATATTGGTGTATAAAAACTGGAGCCATTTACATGTCTATAGAAGTTATTGAAAAATATCGCGAATAACTGATTGACCTATTGTTCGCTACAAATTTCTCCGGCTGGATGTGTAAAGTGTAACTAAAGTAGACGTCACGTTAGTTATTTTTTTAGATATACTTTATTATGTAACCTTTTATATATTATATAACGGGTGTTTCCTGCTAGGATCAAATTCATAGAATCAAACGGTTTAATCGGAAAATTTTTCACTAAGCCGATCAATCGATGGGCCTATCGGACCAATGAGGAACGTCCGGAAGAATCGTCATAACTATGACACTTTAAAAGCCAGAAAAGTTTGTAGCACTATAGGTCGGTTTCAATAATATTTAAATTTTAATAAAGAATAGGATAATATGATTATCGAACAGGATTATTGTAAATATAAATACGATTATGAAAATTATATTTTTATATTGAGTTACGTTTTAGTTTGTTGGATTGGATTTTATATGGGTGTCAATATTTTTTTAAACATTTTTTTAATGGCTGTTAATATATGAAAATTGATTTTCATGAAACGTGAAATATTAAGAACTTTAAATCGCTGTAAATGGATCACCTAGGATTTAATTAATAATTACGTGACGCAACAAAGCAAATTCACTTCACTTAGTAAGATAAGATTTTGTGACGGTGAAATAACTCCAAAAAAAAATCAAGCGAATTTTTGTGTCATTGATAGTTTTAATATGTTGATTACATTTTTTATTTTCTTCAAAATTGGTTTTAAAAGACACGCTATGTTTGATTGTCTTATTATCATGGAAATTTACAAATAAATAAATCGAAAAACAGCCTTTAGTCATTTGAAATTTTAATAAATACATTTGAAATTGAAACCTTGTATTTTTTCTATCACCCTTAATGCCATCTCAAATTATCTCTCTTATACTCTTTGGGGAAATGGATACAATTTTTTTGTGTATGTGTATATGTACAGTGGAAACTCAGGGTTATATATTATCTAAGATATTAATTAAAACGCACAATGAAACATCGAAGTCACTTTATTGAAATATTTTACAATATTGATTTACAATTTGAAGATTAAAGTAAATAAAATTAAAGCGAAGGAGATTTGTAGAAATAAATACAAGTGGAAAAAGCGTTTGTTAAAGTGGTACATCACAACCTGAACCCGCGTACAAGGTTTTAATAAAAATGGCGGCGCTCAAAAATCACACATCAAAATGTTGCCAGTGTTGTAGCTGTGGTTATTCAGTGTTGCAATGCACCGAATATAACACAATCAATTTTAATTAAATAAACTGTAAATTATATTTATAAAATAATCACATATTTTCAGTACTTATTTTGTTTACAATGTTATTTGATCGTCACATTCCTAACCGTGGGTTTTTACTGCTGTACCATTCATACTAAGATCTCAGTTGGTTACGAGAATTGAACAACACTATATTATTTGTATGAATGTTTCGTTAGGCAAACCACGGTTACTTAGGTGGATGTGCAAAGAAATTATGTGACATGTTCAAATAAATAAAATATTTATTAGCAAGGAGCAGATATTATTTCTTTATATGACCGGCCTTCTTACAAATCGTTCCCCCTTTTTGATTGTTTTAATGTGGTTAATTTGGTGAACGAATGAAGGAACGGTCAAATGTTATTTTAACTTTGTTGCCGTGGGTTTCACTGTCGACACTTCACTGAAACATATTGCTATCTCTGTTTCTCCAAAGAGAATGACAGGGATGATGATATGTTTTTGGGTATGTATTTCAAACCATGGAAACCATCGGCTGTTACTCCTTGCTTTACAAATTGTAACTATAAGCAAATCAATATTAAAATAATGTGTTTTATTATTTTTTTTAGCAACGATAATTAATATATATGTGCATATGCTATGTCATGACGATATCGGGGATACACGATTCGATGAATTTCGAAAGACATTATTAACATGAAACTGTGTAAAGTTTCCGATTTGCTTTGTTTCAATCTAATCCAAGTCAATGAAATTTACCAAAAGACATTTTCATAGTTCAAACTATGAAACTATTATATTTATGAAAGTTTCGTGATTTGTGACAAATTTATCTTTTATAGATCTGCCTGTTTGTTGTTAATTTTGCAAAATGTTATCTAAAATCTAATAGTAATTTTACTTTCTTTTAACTTGCCGATGTATTTTATTTTAAAAAATTATTGTAATATAGAGTTATTTTAGCAGTTATTGTCTATCGGCAAGATTAACGCAATTATGGGATCAGTACATCATTATACAAAAAAATGTGTAATATTGTACATAAGATATAATATACTATAGGAGTTAGATACGCCTTCGTCCAACACATTTAAAATCTATCAATATTGGATGGATATTAGTTTAATAAAATAGGCTGCAAAATTTAGGTTATTTCATAAGACCTCATTTTTTAGTATACTATTCGAAAAGCTCTTAACATTAAAAATCTTATTTAAAAGTTAGGCATAACGACGACGGAGAGTAGAGGTCAATTGAACCTCCGCTCTTTATCCTAAATTATAGGTAAAATGTTTAAAATTCGAATATGTAAATTTGAATGAAAATGCCTAAGCTCGTTTTAGCAAAACTTTAGCGTATCCAACACAATTAAATTGGATAAGATTATAAAGTGACCCAAACGGGATATTAAATTGTCTGACGTCACTGCAAAAATCTTTTCTATGATTCGTTAAAATTTAATTATTATTATAGGAAGATAACACTTAATCGATGCTTAATAGAATAAAAAGTGAATTCATTTTGTGTTTATATTCAAATATATTATGAACACGCTTTTATCTGGACGGAGAGGGGACAAGTGAAAAAGAAAAATTACATCTATTAGGAAAATTAGCCAAAATTACTGATTTTTGTAAAAAAAACAGATTCGCGCTTTATATTATTGTAATTTACTGATTAATTCATAATTTTTTAGTAATCGTGTAATGATATAAAGCTGTATAATGATTAAATCGAGTAACTTTAAAAAAATACAAGATGCAGATCCCATTTGCGTTTCGGAATTCATGCGATCGTGCGCCCCCGGCAGTCACCGAGTCGTGCACTCGCACACAAAACAATGAAGTGTACTTGAAAACCGTAAGTCACATAGCACATGTTTAAAACGTCTGCAAACATCACTTAAACTATATACCGTGAAACAAATTAATATTACAAAGTTACAGCTGATTCCTAAAGACCATATTATATACAGCCGATAAGTCAAAAATAATATCGTCAGACTTTATATAATAATTATTTTTTTGCCAATTCCACCCTAACTACAAAATTTGAATAGAAGTATGTGTTTCCATCAGCGTAAACTATGTGGTTAACAACTACGTAATGGCAAGATTAATAAACAATAAATAATTTTAACTGAAAACAAGATTTTCATAGAAGGATAGCTGGCTACATGAGTACACAGTTACACATATAGTTATTAATAAATCCTAAATCCACTAATTTCCACTACACTTTTAACATCAAACCCAACGACTACGTACAGGTGGCAACATAGATCGTAGCAAGTTGTTAAATATGTCCATTGGACAATCGTCATCTTTTTAGGCAATCTACGACCGAATATGTCTGCATCTCGATGTTTTTTCTAGTGTCTTTATGTTGTCTAGTGTAGTGATAATTATAGATCGCTAAACATTACAACGGGGTCCTTGATGACTTACCTTTTTAAGACAGACGTAAAGTATCATGCAATATCAACTAATAATACTGAGCGAAAATCATAATACGCCTTAAATGCGAATACGGCGTACCTACAATTTTGGCCAACATGAGTAATTCACGATTAATTCTAAATATCTCATGTCTATTTCAAAGCCGAAGCATAACCATATTCTTTAATGGATTTTATTCAGCAATTTAGTGGCATTTGCTATTTTTTGATTAGAGTGCTTGTTATACAACTGGATAGTATGACTTTTCTTATCGATATTTTTAATTAGAGATAAATTAGACAGCGAAACGTTTGAATGTTTGAATTCCTTTTATTAGGGAAATGCAGAACTAATAGGTAAAATTGAATGTGTCGACAACAATCAACTATGTAAATGCATACCGACTATGTTCAATTACTTGAATGGTTTAAAGAAGGTATTGATTGTTGCATTGTCGCTAAGTCATCGGGACCCACTTGATTTAAAACAACAAACACCACATGAATTTACTACGATTAAAATCTGACATCAAATTAATTCACGGTTACCTGCAACAGCCTCGGATACCTGTTTCTAAATCCAATTTCTGAACAATTATTGTGGTACAAATAAAGTGATTTATATTTCATGTTTAGTAAAGTTTATAAATTTTTATTCTCGTGGACCAATTTTTAAATTTTATGGTTTCATTGATAAGTCCCTGCCGGATTTTAGTAAATCTCCGAGGTACCACAGTCCACTTGGGATCACTGATGTTCATCATATTCCAGGATGATTCAGACAAGACATTGTTGCCATCGGCTTTGCCATATTTACTTGTCCCACAATAACATCGGAAACTGAAAAAATAATGCTCATTTTACCTGGCCGTATCATAATAACGAATCTATGTAATTATTGTTTTTTAAGATATTATGATAGCCAACGTTTGAGTGCGTCTACTTCGGGCACACGTAAAACGTGCATTACTTACAATAATAACCATTAAATACCATTGACATTAATCTACGTAGTAAATACACACATATATTTGAACATCATTAATTAATAAGGAATGTTTTAAGATATTCGCGCAATTTAAATAGATGTATCTATAAAGAGGACTACAAACAAAACAATTGAAGTCTGTTAGGCAGTAACCCCTCTTGCTGACTGGGGCTTAGGATGCCACCGTTGGCTGTTGCTCGTCCGCTGCCATCCTCTACACGACACCCTGCCCAATGCCGCTGTCCTTCGTCAACCCGGTGTCAGAATATGTCCGAGCGGCCCGACGAAGGCCCAAATAATATGTCTTATTCCAACACACAAATGCAACTATTCATACTTAGGATGGAAAATATGTTGTTTGTTGTTGTGTGCTATAACTGTAGTCACATCTATTTAATTTGCCATGCTATTCTATTTTATAATAGAATTTGCATGAAACATAAACATTAACAAAGGATTTAGTCTACATTAATTAGTAACTACAGTCCTACTCTAATTTACATATATGGGATAAATATGTCTTTTACCTAAATGTTTAATCGCTATGAAATGTGTAATAATGATATGATGACAATTATTAAAATGTACTGTAACAACTAACACCGATTGATAAATTGAAATAAATCTACGATTCAGTCCTCTCCACGAGATCGGGTCACAATTATGAGGGCAAATGGAGTGTCGGCTGTGGTTCCTGCGGGTGGCAGATACCCTATGCGGTGAAATGGCGCGGAAGCTTTACACCTCCAATGTTCTGATTGATTTTAAAACTATATGCGTGCGCTGTTGGACGGACCTTTGAACCGAATGATTGCAAAATGTATACGAAAATATGAACTTAACGCGTTAATGCCACTTAAATATAAAACTTTATTCAATTGATAAAATTATAAAAACGTTTCGAAAAAGACAATTGCTTGGAACTCGAGCTACAAAGCGTGCCGGCCGTAGCCGGGTATGCGGACAGTCGTCAACAATTTTTCTCGGTAGAATCAAATTTAACAATTAATCCCTATCGGAGTTAGTCTGATTTAATTAATTGCGAGGTAAAGTTTGGTCTAATGTTTGTATTTTGGTTTAGGTAAGTCAATTAAGGTACAGTACAGAATATAAAAGATATAAATCAATAATCAAAAAGATCCGTTTTGAGCAATGTTGTGTGTATACAGCCCTACATAATTTCCCGTCATATTGTACCGTCGCAAACTTTGTCATTCCAGGTCGTGCACTGCAACTTTAGCCGATCACAAAGAATCTCATATTGTAAAGAATTGACACACATCGAGACCCGCAGTGTTGCGAGCTAAAGCTAAAGCACCAGACCGCCAACACAATCATATAAGACTAAAACCACGGAACGTTTAACAACAAATATAATATTAAAATCACGTCTTACTGGATATGTCTCTAAGATAATTTTAAAAGTTAATAATAAACACAGCTCTTTGTCTCAGCGACAGCTCAGCATGGCATTCGACTGATGGTGTTCATGGGGGGCGGCGGCGGGCGCAGTGTCGCTACGCCCGCCCTATACGCTCATACTTCTCACAACGATTGTACTTGTGTTCTGTGCATAAGTATTACTTCAGTCTTTTAATTTCAGTTTGCGATCTCGTCTCTTACTCAATTCTGTCGCTGGCCTTGATGACTCACAACCGTACATACTTTGCTTAATGATTAACATATAAACATTTATTAACAGATGGACAACATCGATGTATAATATAAGAACTACTTATAAACAGTACTAGCGCGAGCGCTAGATCCGAGGCTGCTGCATTTAACTCATATTTGTGAATATTGATACATTGATACACATATATTTTACAACATACAACATAAAATAACTTATAACTATGAGTTTATAATCCGAGCCCGTGTAACATTGTAAATGTTTAAATGCGATAGCGTCGCGCCAGGCTCGGAACTCAAACGCAGATACATTACAAACGAACATTCTGAGCAACAGAAAGCTACGCACAAAGTTGTATGCGGCTCAGGTAGGGCACCGTCACTGTCGACAGGGCGACATTTTGGAACCGCATAAGCGAGTCAAGCATCGCGTGATAGCTGTATACGAGTAGTCGCTCAGTCATGTTGTTTTAATGTATCTGTAAAGGTTAGCGCGCACTTTTCAGCTCCTCACCCACCCGACACCGCCCCGCCTCGCGATCCTCGCGACGACGTACACAAGACGTTGCTCATTGAGCGGAATAAAGATATTAGCAAAACGATTATTGTCGCTTGCACGAGTTGGCGACGCGCGGTCGGCGAGGCGTTGGCGAGAAGACGCCTCGGTCGAGTTGACGGCGAGGCGGGGTGGTGCCGGGTGGTCCAGGAGTCAATAAATACACTATAACCTTTATTCATATTTCCTTTTCAGGTAGAGGTGTCTAGTGTACCGTTTGGTATATACCTGTCTTTAAGACTATATACTTTAAGCTTTAAAGCCCAAACATATATGATAGATTTGGGAAGCCTAAAATATAAAAGTCTTAAAGACGTAGTATAACTAGCAAGGCCGCAATATTCTTCCCAGAGTCGGCGTGTAGAGATGTTAATCCGTGTTCATGTTGTCGTTGCAAAGATTGCCGGGGCGCAGCTAGCCCTTCGGCCAATAGCGACGACATTTACATTAAAATTTTAGTCTATTGCACGTGATATTTGAATTCTAAAGTACATGTTAATCTAGGCCTATTTCCAGTTAATATTGTTTGTAAGTTTGTATTTGTATTTTTTCTAAGTTTACATTTGTAATGAAATGTGGAAAGTGTTTAAGCGGTAGATAAGCATTCACTATACATATATTTATATATTTACAATTGTTTAAACCTGCCACGAAGCTTATTTAAAGAAATGCTTTAGTATTTGTAAACACTCTGACGCTAGTATCATATTGAGTTGTTATTATTTGCAATACGTAGTTAGACAATTGTTCGAAGGAATTAAGCACATATACATATTATTAGTTCACGGGTACACTGACGGCCAGTAGGGCGCTATGAGAGTTCGCAGCGAGCTCTAATACGGCTCACGCACGCCTGACGGGTTAGCCGAGTACAACAACTCACGCGCGCCTGGCGGATGCACCGGATCACTAGAGCCTGACGAAGTGGTCGAGTTCAGTAGCCCACATACGTCTGACGGGTTAGTCGGGTACAGCAGCCTACACACGCCCGACGGGATAGCCGAGTGCTGCTCGCGAGCGCGTGACGGGTTACCAGAGTGAAAGGTTTAGACGCGGCAGGCGGGCGGGGAACGCGGTGAGCGCGCCGCCAGCCGGCCGCGCCACACCGACAGCGCTGGCTCCTGCAGCTCAACGAGCTCGTGCGCACTCTCGCGCCGGCCCGCCTTCTCTGCGAACACACGACACACATTATTGTAGCACGCGCTCAAACAGTGTACACAAACTGAAAACCGTTTTCTATTGTTGATTTTGATCAAATTGAATCAAATTTATTTGAGCCCGAATATATTATTTAATTTATCTGACAGTTTCCCACAATAGAAACACAGATGGTTATTATTGGGACTTATGACGAATAGATAATCATATTCTAGTTTAGTCTACTGTGTGACAAGGTACATAAATCTATACTTTTTTCCTTATATCGTTATAGTACATTGCGAACAATTACGATATATACGAATACGAATGAATCAACAACAACCATACACAGACTACACGGGGGTGGGAGTGACACGCAGCGGGGACGCAAGCCATGCGCAGGCGCGGCCTGCCACATCCACACGCGACAGCGGACGTAGGACAGAGGACGGTACAACGATAACATCAGTCGGCACGCATTACATTACTTAATACTATTTCGAGAACGACAGAACTCTTACGACCACTGTACTCGGATAGCTTCAAGCAGTGGACGGTGGCGCCTTCAAACAGTCGGCGTGATGGCGGCATCATTGTCGCAGCTAAAAACTGTTACCGGCAACACGATGACTGCTTCAACCTGCCGCTGTGGACTACTTGAAGCTGTCCTTGTACCGTGACTCTTATACTTTGCTTTTTACTTTATAGAAGAAAGTCAGGCTTTGCATCATAATTTTCCATATGAAAGGTAAAGGGCTCTTTAATGTTATATTAATATTCAATAAGTATAATCTTTATAGTATAATCCTGCCTGGTAATTTCATTCTGTCGAACTCGAGGGACACGCAAGCATAGACGTATCTCTAAGAGCCTGTGATTAACTAAATATAAACGGACGTAGAACCATGCGAGTTTCCAGGTGCATGCGTTTGTTATCAGACAGACACAAAGTTCCTGCTGAAGGTGGTTCAGTTGGAGACCAATTGCCAAACGGTGTTGTCATTAAAGGCTACCCCTCAAATACGTGGATTGCCTTGGTACGAACAGTATTCATTTTTAAATCTCGAAAGAAAGATTTACCAATTCAATTTAAAGAAATAAACCATTTGCCAATTCAGGTAAAGTGTGAATTTTGTGTAATTATTGTTATTGAACGGGACGAGCACACAATGGCTAAAGGCTCAACGACCAGGTTACATCAAAACAAGGAAAGACACATCGAAAATACGTAGAGTATCAACCCCCGACGATTGTAATCAATTAATAAAAAGTTATTTGTTCAACCGTTGATTAATTTAACAAATAAAAACAAACAATTTGCAATATTAACCTTTATTCGTCGGAGGTTTGCAATTATTAGTATTTATGAAAACGTCTATTTAATTATAAAAATTTATAAATTTAATACTAATAATTTTTAAAATTCTCAGCTAAGATTTCCTAGTTGCCAAAGATCAATGAATATTTTGAATAGACGTTTTCATGATAGGAATATTTTAAAGAGTTTATTGAAGGACACACTAATTCATAACTTGTATGGACAACATTGAGCTGAGGTCAGGATCGTACGAGAGCCCGCGGGCCCGGTCGTTTTTGTTTGCCAATTGATTGTGCTAACGAAATGATTCAGTCATCGTTAGGATAATATAAATTTTGTCAGCGAGGCGGGCGGCTCTCGCGCCTGACGTTTCACATAAATCATAGCAGTCGTGTTCTATTATAGATCTGTGTGAAACGACAGCATGAGGGGACATGCATTCTTAATAATCTTTTTGACTTACTCCTCTAATGTCCCGAGTAATGATGGATTTGAACAGAAACTAACAAACAAATAAATATGCATTAATATTTGGATTATGTAATAAATAGTTCGATGATTATTATTAGAAAAATCTAGTGAATCCTCATTATATTTTTAATGATTCTCATGAAAGTTTCAATTATTCGTTTATGTTATTATTAGGATAGACGTTAATTACATTGTCATGAGTTTAATTACAATATAGCAACATGTTTAAATGATTCCAATACTTCAAAGCGAGTCTTTTGTAAAACAAGTTGAATAACTAAATGAACATGTTGTAAGATGCTTTTGTGCATCATGAAAACAAGTGAATGTTCATGGTACTACGTTCCATAGTCTTTTTACAGAAATATGAAATGCCTGTGGGTAATTACCTCAGTTATCAACTTGGTAAAAAGTAATAATACAATAAATGTCTGGAAATATATTTCATAACAGCCAGCACAAAGATTGAGTTTTTAAGTCCAGCTTTCATTATTGTTGGATCAAATATAATTTAAATAGCGATTCAAAGTATACATCCAGCTTCTCCGTTTAAAACGATTATGTGTTGCAATTGCCTAAATGATGTTTTCTATCTTTTTGATAGATGGCACTGGCAGCTCTTAGAAATATCATATTTCACTGCATTTTTAATTTCAATTTTTTTAGAGAAAATAAAAAAAAGTATTAACATCGAGGTTCGGTCACTACAATCTGTTTTATTTTGATAAAATATTGGCACTATGTAAAATTTAATTCACAACATTTTACATTTGTTACTCAGACGACATTTTTTTAATTAAAAGATTCAAATAATTTTATGTTATTTAACACAAATATTCTTTGGCTGATTCCTTGAAATAGGTTTTTATATAGGTAATGTGTAGTAGTTGCATTAATTGAAATGCAAACGTACTCAGTAAACACAGTATATTTTCTAAAGATTTGATGTTATTAAGTTCGCGTTGTAGGGTTAGAAGTGTGTTGGGTGGGCTCACCTAATGGTCAGACATCTGTTTCGATGGCATCTGCAGCGGCAGCGGCGGAGGCGGTGGTGGCAGCATGCAGGTTGTTGACGCGCACGGTGCAGGAGGCGCGGCGGCGTGGGCCCTCACGCATCTCGCGGCACTCGCGGTACTCGCAAATGTCGCGAGTATCGCGGTTGTCGCGCGTGTCGCGGGGCCGAGCGCCCAATGAACGCTCAGGTGCCTGCGTCTGCACAGGACCAGGCGCAGGGCACAAGGCTGGTTTAGGGCACTGACCCGCAGCCTGACATTGGCCCTGGCCCTGAGCTTGACCTTGAGCCTGACCCTGGGCCTGGCCTTGAGCCTGCGACTGCTGCCGCGACAGCCACTGCGCCTGCGCCTTCTGCTGTTTCAGCACTTGCTTCTGCTGCAGCTATAAAAGGTATTATATATTTGTACTAAATGACTTTACATATGTTCAATTAAACTATGTTGAATATAATAATTAGTATAGTAAGTTGTAACGTTGTTGTGTTGGTTGGTGTTAAGATGTGTGCACAGTATAGTAATACCTGGTTGTAGCGAATGGCGTCTTGGTTTTCGAGGGCAGCGATGTCGTCGGTGTTGCCGGCCTCCATGGCGGCTTGCTGCTCGAGCAGCAGGCGTTCCTCCTCGCGAAGGCGCGTCAGGTTCTCCTCGAGCTGCGAGTCCGCCACCATTGCACTCTCGTCCAGTTCCATCATGTCCGAAGATGACTCTTCACTCACCGAAGACTTCTTTTTGATCGGCCCTGAAACTACATGCCCCACAAACATGTAGGCCTCACAACGGCGCTACAAAGAGCCAACAACGATGTGACAGCGAACTTACACACGAAGTAGTGATAAAAAAGGCGTATAATAAATGCAAGTATTGAAAAGTCATTCATAGCCATATCGCCATATCGTTAATTATTATATTATATTGTTAATTTTAAGCTATAACATTCGCTATCGCATCGCTTCAATCTGTTTTTCAATCAAATTATTGTACTAAAGGTGATTTTAATTGGAAGCTATTAGAGAAAATATCTACAATGAACATTAAAAAATATACAACAAATTATATCAAAATAAACAAATATTGTGATTTACTTACAAAAATCCATGTGCAAAGATGATATAAAAATGCTAAAAGAAATAAAATTATAAAAAAGCGTATAATCATTTTGCATTATGGGAATAATCTGACAAATCAAAAGAACTTCTTATTCTGACAAAAAGTTGCAGTAGATTCCTCCGTTAAACATTTGCAACCGGAAGTAAATCCTAGTAGGTACGTCCGTGACACGTAATACCGGCCCCGATCTAAGAAAGTGTTCCATCCCCTATTACGTAACTATGCAGAGGTTCCTAGATTTAAATAAAGCCTTTGGAACGTTTTAAAGGTTTCACTTTACACGAGCGACCGTGTCGCAAGGCGTTAAATACTACTTGTTAGGTTTCATCTCATAAGATTTTATCCGCATTTTCCTTTTCAATTGCTACACAAAAGTGGAACAATGACAAATCCAGTTTTACATTTTGTCATATTTTAATACTGTAAGTCTCAAAACTATCTCAAATATTGTTCCAGTAAGCGATTGCCTTTAGTAAAAATAGAAGCACGATTTTTAACGTGTTCGTAATTTAATGTTTTGGTAATATGTTTAAAATTAAAACAAAAAACATTCTTTTAGGAATGCTGCTTTAAGTTGCATCTTTTATTTTATCGAAGAAAATAAAAGTCAAACCAGAAGCAAATATGGGGTTCGAGTAGAGATATACATAATATTTACAGAATAAAAACCGAACGGAACACACTTGGAAATTGTCAGGTAAAGCGACACTCGAACTAAACTTATGCATACACTTGACGTCAAGTATAATATCACTGGTCAATCATAGAGCAAATATTAAGCATTACCCGATAACGTAAACGCTACTACAGTTTTTCAAATATAACAAGACAGCAATTAGTTAACAGTATTAACTCATTTTTACATTACTTAAACTACTATTTACACCAAAACTGCACTATTTCGCTTCTTAAACCATAATATCACAATGATCGTCTCTGTCGATTAGTTTAAGTCCGCATTACTAAGTAACAGAACGACACTGTCGTACAGTCAATGATCACAGCACACTTCATCTTGGTCTTCATCCTTCCCACCTGAAATTACCCAAAGAAAAAAAACGTAAAAGAAAAAACTAATCATGCAAACTGAAATAAGCATTACACATGAATTCTTAAATAAAACGTAACACTATTTTGAGAAATATTAAATTAGTACTAAATAAAATGTGAACTTTGAAATCAAAATCGCTTCTACCAAACTTTAAAATAATCTAATTCTAAAATAAAATAATTAAATCAAATAATACTAATAAAGAAGCACATTTATTACAATATATGCAAACTGAATGTAGATACACGATTAGGGAACAAAAGATTCTTTTATTGATTCAAAGAAATTCAGCATCAAACATTTTATGTCGACGTATACATACTCAGGTAAGGCTCCCCCATAGTACCAGGAAGATAGGGGCAGCTGGTGACATGGTTGAAGTTTTGTGACTGCATTTCCTCCTGATCAGTCTCCCGGTGATAGAAGTAATTGAAGTTGGACACGATGACTGGAACGGGTAGGGCAATGGTGAGTACGCCGGCGATCGCACACAGCGACCCCACGATCTTGCCCCAAACACCAACAGGCCTGGTGCATAAAAATATATTTACATATTGGCAATGTATCACTATCTTCTTATAAAGTATTGTGCTATCTCCAAGCTGCTTTCATTGAACAGAAATTGCGAATGGGCGTTAAATCCCTGGATGATGAACATGCGTTTCGAGCGTACATACCTTTATCCACCACCTTTCTTTACACTATTTCATTTTTAATAAATTTATTGAATTGTTAATGTAAAATTTTAAAAAAATGATAAGGATAAGATTTCTCATTCGCGTATTATCGCAAGCAATACAATATCATACATCTTCTTTCATACTCGCCAGCATGTTACAGGCGATCTGTAACTTTATATCCTTATCGCTCAGCATCTGAATTTATCGCCAGCACTTACGGTATATAGTTTATTGTTACTATAGTTAAAGTCATTGTCACAACACATGAGTAGTACAAAATGGCTGCAAGAATCGAAACATATTATTGTGGAACCAGCTAATTGATACTTTACATGTAACTTGTGACAAGACTGAATAAATTTATTAAAGAAAGTAAAGATTCGTACTACCAAACTTTAAACATAATCATGCATCACTTTACCACTAACATGGTAACAACATACAATCAAAATAAAATCTCTATCGAAAATGGTGTAAGCAAGTGATCGAGATGCAACGAGGAACAAGCAGTGATTTTAATTGAACATCAATTTTACATAGTAGCACGATCGTGTAAAATTTACCATTGATCCACATAAATAAGTCGGCAGGGGGACTGATAGGGCATTCCAAATTAAAATAGACAGAAACAAACAGTCGGAATAATGTACAGATCACGTAATACAAATAGTTGATGCAAGCAAAACAAGTTCAAGAATTAACATTTGATATTATAATCTATCTGGAGCACATTGACGCTATGGTCACCATTTTCGATAAGCTACCAGTTTAACATTTACAACAACTATAACATGGGTGATAGATAACACGTACATATATTGTAGCATAAGCATAACAGAGGATTACAATTACAAACACAAAAGGAACATTCCCTTGAGGTACATCGACAGGAACACCTCAACTCGATTCTCCCATCAGTTTTAGATCTGATTTTAAATAGGACAATCACAGTTAAAGTGTGTTAGAAACATTTAAAGCTATTAGTATTGGCGCAAATACGCTTTGGGAAGGGCGAAGATCACACCGACGACAACTGGTGAACATTTATGGTAACCAGTGAAATCTACTTATCACCGTAAACTTTTACAATATTGCTTCCATGTAAAATTGTATGTGGTTTGTAAAGGATGATATAAAAATAAATACTTAAAACAAAATAAAACAATGGACAAGACAATAACAATTGTTTGTAAACGTGCAATAATAATTTCGTAAAAGAGTGTAAATAAGATATAACAGTAAGTTCTAAGCGAACCGACGAGAAAATTAAATTTAAGCAAATGGAGTTGTATGAAATGGCGAAAAGAAAATAAGAACCGTGTTAAAATACCGACTTAAAATTGTAGGATAAAATGAAATGACGAGAAGGCATATATGAATTTAAGGGTGAAGTCGGTGAATCATACGTCATGTCTCCGTATCCTACGGTCGTCATAGTCACCACCGCCCACCAAAACGCATCTGGTATGGATTTGAAGAAGCTGTTCTCGCTTCCGGCTTCAGCGAAGTACACCGCGGAGGAAAACAGCACCACACCTTTAAGAACAAGCACATCAACGGAGAATACAGTGGGAGATACGATGGAGGGGAGCGATTGCGACGGGCGCGGGGTGGTCGCGCGCGTGTTACCTCATATCGCCGTAGCCGACAGTGGTCATCGTTATTACCGCCCACCAAAAGGCATCGGGGATTGAGGAAAAGTTTGTATCGGGGCAATCTTTGTCCGCGAAAAATACGGCGCTGCTGAACACAACCACGCCTGAAAAAATAAAGCACGTTGCGCGTAATGTACCACCCGCGACGCCCTGTGGATGTCAGCCGTCTCGCCCCGCACCGTTACCTTCGCTGTGGATCCTTCATTAGTTTGACTCATGTTTCAATTGAAATACGTGTTGCACAATTGAAATCTGTTGGGCTTACAAAGAACGCGTGAAATACCATGGCAACAAAGTAAGGAGATTTTAATAAAATTTAAAAGGGGCAGATGTACGGTTTTCATGTTTTATTTCTTTTGAAATAATTAGTCTGAATGAAGAATTGTAGTGTTTTAATGGTGGCACGGATCCGATCCGGTCCGAAACCGTTAATGCGGTATGTATGTTTTGTTATAGAAACTAGTTTTGTCCATGTAATTGTCGATTTAGTCAAAGTATGTAAGCAATAATAATCTCTAGTTTTATTATCAAGGTAACTTATTATTATTTTATGCCGGTCGAAAAATTTAAATAAAATATCTCGAGAAGTACCTTAAGGTGATTGAATAGCTGTTGATGAACAAACGTTTTACGATTTTTTATGATGGACCTATTTCTATTTTTACTAGAGTTACATGTTGCGTGTCATGTAGCGTTCCATGAGTTTTTTAACGCACAACTACTAAAGTAATGTTTGTTTATCGTAATAATAAGAATTGTCTTATTCGATTAAGCTATATAATATTGTATTAGGTTGGAAAAGAATATTTTTTTTTAAGATTCAATATTGATGACTGGAGTGTTGCGTGAAATAAATTTCTGTACTTACCGATGAACAAGAAGAATATTAGTAGTCCGAGTTCCCGCATTGATGCCTTGAGAGTTCGTCCAAGGATCTGAAGACCCTTGGAGTGGCGAGATAGTTTGAAGATCCTGAAGACTCGCACCAGGCGAATCACACGGAGTATTGCGAGACTCATCGCTTGGTTGGTGGACTTGTCTTGTGGTGAGACGGGGGCTCGTGGCAGATTTAAGGTGTCCTCTTCTTCGGCAACAACAGTAGCAAGGGTGATGAAGTAAGGGATAATAGCGATGATATCTATTATATTCATGACGTCTCTGAAGAAATTAAACTTGTTCGGACAAGCCAAGAACCGCACTATCAATTCGAACGTGAACCAAATGATACACAAAGTCTCGATGAGGAAGAAGGGATCGGTGATATCGGGCACTTCGTCCTCTTCGATCTTGGTGCCGTTGGTTGTCGTGTTGAAGACTTTATAGTGCTTGAACTCCGGCAGGGTCTCCAGGCAGAAGATGACAATGGAAAGAAGGATCACGAAAACGGAGATGATTGCCACAACTCGCGCCGCCTGGGAGCTCTCAGGGTACTCGAACAGCAGCCAGATTTTGCGCTGACGCTCATTGGCGGGCAGGGGCTTCTCCTCCTCCTTGATGAATCCTTCGTCCTCCCTAAAATACATAAACTAAATTAAATCATCCATCCAGGCATTTTATATTGAAAAGTTTTAGAACTTTTCACTATTTCCGTTTATCAGAGTTTGGTGTTAAAGAATTTTACCGGAATTTGTTGGTGGCTTGTTCGCCAAGTTCGTAGAATTTAATTTCTTCAGAGAACACGTCCAGAGGTACGTTTACGGGGCGTCGCAAACGCCCTCCACTTTGATAGTAATACAGGATGGCGTCGAAAGATGGCCTGTTTCTGTCGAAGAAGTATTCGTTCCTAAAAAAATGCAATTTTGTTTGTTACTAATGCTAAGTATATAAAATATTGTTCACTCTCTCTCTATATATATATAATGCATTATTAGCGTGTCTTGCGACCTACCTTAATGGGTCAAAGTATCGTATTCGCCGAGTCGGATCCCCGAGAAGAGTCTCGGGGAATTGGTTGAGGGTACGTAGTTGGGTTTCGAACTTAAGGCCGCTCACCTGCGAACAAAAAACGCGTACAATACCTGCGGTATCCAAAGCTAATTCCTCAAAGACTCGTACTGGTTGGTTGAAGATATGACAATCAAACAGTTTCTATGTGAAAATCGAATTTCAGGAGTCAATACGGCACGTCAATGTAATACGTTAAGCGGCGCAGTGGCCGGCCTTGGAGATGTTTTTTACGACTATGATAGAAACGTTCACGTCGGCGCGCCTGTGCGATGTGACTTGTCACCTGTCAGCATAGCGCATTAACATTATTTTGCGCCGTTTCTCTTGCCAGCCGCGGCTGAATAAGCAAACGTTTGATTAAAAATCCATGGCACTAGATGTCCATATCTTTTTAATCTTCTTTCAAACATTTTGATTGACGTTTCAATACGAATGAACCGTAGAAATAGGCATTGATAATTTGATCTTGTGCGTCATCATTAATGAAAAAGAAAACGTATGGTAATTCTATTGCTGAACGTCTATTAAACACAAACGAGAGCGCATAATAATAATAATAATATCTAATTTGTTTATGTTTATTTTGTTTGATCGTGGTAGAGTTTTACTACGCAAATCTACGGCCATTCATCGGCACATTAAGATATTTAGGAGGCCGAGACTGCACGCAGTGCTACGCTAACATACTACCGAAGTCCATGCCTATTCAAGTTAAGCGACCGTAATGTCAACTTTAAGCGGCTGCTTGGCAAAAGTGGTGTACTCGTCTCAAGTCTCTTAGAAGGCTTTACAGTATTTCAAGAGTGAAATTTGTTAGAGTGCCTACATAAGCCCACTTTCTCTTTCTGCCAGTGTCATGAAAAAAAACCGATAAATTATTTTATAGAGAAAAATTACTTAGCAAAATTTATAGGGTAATTTTAGAATGATGAGTTTTACGAGCACCTTACTAAAGAAGTTCAGAGTCTGTATAGCTAATGAATTTGAAAAATAGAACTAGGACCGCGACTTCGTTAGCGAAGAATAAAAAAATTGCCTATAATAGTAAAATAAAATAAACTACGTTACTCCCGCGCACATAAGCTATTTTCCAATAAAAGTCATGTCAAAATCGGTCCAGACATTTCGGAGATTACCCCGAAAAAACACAGATTTGCAGACAGACAGAAAGACACACACATACACTGATAGACAGGTGCCGAGTACCAGAGGACGCAGAACATGAGTTCTTCGCTTCAAAGGGTGCTGGGAGACCTACAGCATTTCATTGTACTTCATGAATATAGTAAGTCAATACGCCGTCTTTGTACTTAATAAACGAAAAAGAGCCAAAGTAGATTATAGACTCAAAGAGCTATAACACTGACAGCAAGAAGGAAAAGTATGATTGCTTAGACCATAGCCACATTTGACGGTACAAAAGTTTTGTTTAAGTCGGTATTGTGACTCTTGTTGGAACACTAAGAAACTAGAGCCCGACATATATTTTCCATATCTGAAGGTGTCCTAAAGCCTTGTTCCCATCATAAAAAGACAAACGGATTTTCTTTCAAAACTAACATAAATACATCATCTTCGCAAAATATGTTTTTTTTTCTGTATCTGGTAACTAATTGAACTAATTTTATAAATTGTATAGATAAACAAAATTTAATATTTCATATTGCAGCTATTGTCTTAATTTTCATTGGAAAGAAACAAAACAAGCATTTTTGTACTCATGTTTTGTGATCTAAATGATTGGCAAAAGTTCAACCGCGATCTAAAACGCCGACTGGCGAGCGTCGGTGAGGCACTCGTCAAATTACAAAAATAGTTGCCCGCGAAAGATGAGAAAGAAAAAAAAAGGCATAGGAAATGGATTTCACATATTATGCTAACGACCTTTAGAAAATACTAGCGATGAAAAGTAAACAAGGAAAAGTACGGTTATGTATAACAAAGCTATTGCTTTTTAACACGATTTATAGAGGCGGCGCGGAGAAATACGAGGAGCCACATGCAACGGCCACCGGCCGACAATAAATTCTTCATGACTTCGAGTCAGGGCCGAGCGGCAACAGGTGGCGCCGAGGGCGGTGGAACACTCATTCACTAATGGCAAATACATATACGTCACCGTCACATAAAAAACATAATTGTTCTATGCGTGTTTTAATTCAAACTCCTCTCGATATCATACAATTAAATTCACCTTTAATATATTATAGTATTTAGAAGGTGGCCTTATTTAATTAAAATAGATTTAAAAAATTTAAATTTTTACGGCAGACTTATTTTTGTTGCAACGAATGGGGAAAGATGTGAAAGTTATGTTAATAGTAAAAAAAGTGAAATTTAGAGTATCTATTGCTTGGACCGAAGTACAAATTATTACATATTCGTGGAAAGATACATGGGAAAAGAAGTTCATTGCAGTGTAGAACTTCTTGGCTGAAAAATCTTCGCCAATGGCACAACAGAAGTATAAGTTACACGTTTCGAACTGATGTGTCCAGGATTCAGGTTGTTGTGATGATCGTCAACATTAGTTAGGAGATAGCGGCAAAAGATGAAGATCGGTGACGTGGACGTAAATCAATTTGCTATATTATTTTTTGTGATGTAACGAACAAAGCATAAGGCTACATACTAATTTTAGCTATTCCTTTTTATGCGGAAGAATGTAAATACGGAAACTCGTCGGTATTTGTTGGCTGGGAATCAGATAGCAAGCTAGTTCGTCTTTCATCAATAATATCGTCTCAAAACTGATTATTTATGTCAACACCACAATTAAAAACTTTATTCTAATCAAGCCGCTTCTAATTCAGTTTCACTAATAATGTTAAGAGTTGGGTTTGTTATTGTAATTCAGCGTCTGTTCAGAAAGTTTTTAATTGATATTAAACATTTACGAATCAATAAGATTGCTAAATAATTATAGTTTCAAGTTCATTAAATTTTAAATCATTAATCGCAAAGTAATAACCTTGAAACGTCTTACCTTTTCAAACTGAAGTTCAAGTAATAAATGCTCCGTATCGTAATCTTTTCGAAGTGTACTGTCAGCTCACATCGTTATGAGCTGCAGCTATTAACTACAAAGGTCATTGACGTCAAAAATTGGTGCACAATTTATTAACACCTATCTTTCAAGCTTTCGAATTGAAGTTCAAGGTGTTGGTAAATAGTATGTTACGTTAAAGTTTGTTGCACTAGAAATAGCTGGTATGACGCTTACACGCGAAGGTTCCCATTTATTGATTGACCAATAATAGTGTTTCCAAGGAGCGTGTATTTAACTAGTGGACCGAACGAAGCAATCACATCAAGTGCTGGAAAACTTTTTCTGGGCTAAAGTGTATTAACTCTTGCCGTGAAAACATCTTTTCATCTAACGCGTGAACTTGGAAAAGCGTTTATTTCATTAACTGAAACGATATTAGCCATTATAAAAATTATAATTGTTATTTAAAGTTTAATTAGAATTTCTAGAAAGTATTATTTTAGACGATAGAAGTAGCGAAAGCGAGATAACAACGACCGCGTACAAAACATCTGCGATACCTGACCTAGTTAGATGACGTCGAAAAATAGTGTTGAACTGCGGGTTCATTTTCCACCATTGCGTCAGTGCGGATTTTGGTAATTTTACGTAATACGTTATATCGAACGCAGTAATCAATGAATTATCTATTTCCTTTAGTTTATATAGATAACTTCGTCGACTGAACTAAATTTTATTATTATGACTAATTCATTGTATATTGATATATCTATGTAGCGAATGAAAGCTCTATATGAATCCGCACTTTGACTAAGCTTTCTTATCGCAATTGTTTGAGAGCTATGAAGCATGTGCGGTAGGCCGAGGCATAAATTTAATTTAGGACCCGCAGTGGTGGTGCGCACCGAATCTCTTTCGGCGCGGATGTTGCTCTGCGGTTGGCAATGGATCGCTCCAAAAATACATTTTATTGTGCGTTCACCAAGGACGGCCGAGGTGTGTGGTGCACCCGACCATCGAACGCCGAACGTAGAACATAGAATTGAAGATTTAAGGAAAAATTCAAAAATCTATATCAAAATAATAATAATCCCCTAAGTGCAGCCAAACCGTTGCACAAACATAAAATATTTTTTATTTTAAATTTTTTCATGGCAAAAACCTCGGTCGTCGGCACAACATTGTACCAAAGTATCATATCATAACATATATCTTTCCATGAACACACAGGGGACAAACATACAAGCTTTGATTTTTATTAATATAGCTAAAGCAGGAGCATGACACCGTAAATCCGACCGCGAATGGTTCCTGCCTTTAAAGTTTTATTACTCTCCGTGGAAAGACGTGTACGCATGCCGACACGTCGTAACGTGGATCGCACGCGATTGCGCACACATTCTGCCCGTTCTCGCTTTCGCGCCTGTTTCCACCTCTGCTATTGAAACTATAACTTCATCTTAGTCCTCACTCTGGCCTTGCCCTCAACCTCGCACAAGCCCCTCGTGGCACGACCTCTACAATCGTGTAAATTAGATGATAATTGCTGCTGTCACATAAATTGTATTCACGGCTATGCTCGAGCCTGTCAATAAAATTGCAGATAACTTTAAATCATGCAATTATTTTATTTAATTGCACAAATGAAATCTTTTCTTTATTAATAAAACATTAATTCGACAGTAACGGATGTATGTTATAAACATTAAATTCAAAATTTGTTTACACTTATTCATTTACGAGTATGATGTTTTTAAAATAAAATTCTTCGATTTAAAAACATGTAGATGTGTATCGTTTGAAGTCATTTGAATTATTTTTCAATAACTCAAATATAATAGTGCATTTGTTAAACTTTACATATATTCTAATAAGTTTCTCTTATGTCAATATTTTACCTTTAAAAGATAACCTTATTAAAAGTGTATCACCGTAATCATGCACCATCATCATGAACAAATCTTGATAGAAAGGTTTTTAAATTGAAATTGGTACTTGATTGTGTCGTGACTGTTTAATTCTTTGCTACAACAGCAAAGTGGTGACTGTTGACTTTACGTATCACAAAACGTTGTGAGTCCTACCTCTTCACTCGTGTTACCGAGCGATATCATGTAGAGAGGGCGCCACGTTTGTTGTTTGGCATAAAAATTTTAATTAGCATCTGTGCCTATCATACCAAATTACTATTATTCTACAGCAATGTATAAAGAGGTCATAGATATTGAAACATAAAGTTATTATTGGGAATCTTTCGAACTGTATGAATGCCCTCGTTTTCTCCTCATATATGTCTCGTCACCTTATAGTAATAAATTTTGTGATCATTCAAGCACAAAATATTGTGTCGCGTGCTATTAGTTCATCATCCCTACTCTATGATATGTGTGACAAATCTGTTCATTTATATATATTAATGAAACTCGTATATTCACAAGGTTAAAACCGTAATGGAAGCCCTAACGTGTGTGGTCTGCATAACGTCGTGCATGCGTCCCATCACCAGGTCAATGCAATTTGCAAGGCGCGTGAAATGAAACCGCTTCGGATTTATGGTTATGGCTTTACAACGGATTTTGTAAAGCTTGGACGCGCTACATGCCTCTATACTATGAGTTAAACTGCTAATAAACGTGTTATGCTATTTACTGGCCCAGCCACGCCACCTTAACTAATATTGCATGTTTTACTTTATGTTTATTCGTTTGCACAACTAGTCATCAGCAAATCAGAATTTGTGGAACAAAGACCACCAAACATTTAACAATGCTGCAAAATATACCATAACTTGATATGAAATTGTTTCGACAGCTTCCATAAAACAATGTACTAAGTATTAAATTTTGAAAGTACCTTATCCAAACCATGGATAGTAACTCTGAGATACTTTAAACAGTTAGCGATAGCAGCTAGTAAACACCTCCGCCCGAAGCGCTTTAAATACTTCGTACACGAACTGACAAACTTAATTGGTGCTATTTATGCGCTGCTGTAGCGACGCGAGCTATTTCGATTGTGTCATACAGATTACACGTCGATCAATTATACGCTTTTCACACGCAAAGAAAGCTAGAAACGGATTCGGAAAAATGAAATTTATTCGATAGTCGTCCGTGAATTATTTAATATGACTTATGCACGGTTTCTGAAGTTTCCATTTATTTTTTCATTATCTAGTGATTCACTAGTGTTATCTACAAGACTAACTTAAGTTGTGAGTATTAAAATAACAAAGAAAAAATATTCCTAATCGCCTTAGCCATGGCATATTAATCGATCAAGTCACGGAGCACAGTCACGGAGTATCATTAAATTGTCATTTCTAGACTCAAAAGTCAAACTTGTCCGACATCTTTACTGCGCTAGGATTTTGTCATCAATTATGGCTGATAACAACTCTTTTAATTTTTTTCCGTTCATATTCTGAAAGTTATAACTAGACTTCATTTGAAGTTATGGCATTATATCTCAAATTTAAAAATAATGATTAAAAAAAATCTTAAAAGAATACCGAAGCGATAGATATAATAATTTAGACAAAATATATTGTCAAGTCAATATTCTTACGGTGAAGGAAAACATCGTGATGCAACCTGCACATAACTGAGAAGAAATTCAAAGATATGTGTGAAGTCAACCAACCCGCACTTGGCCAGCGTTGTTGACTATGGCCTAATCACCCTTAACTTAGGGTAGGCTCCGAGCCCCTCGGTGGAGACGTATAGTGAGCTGATGATGATGATATTGTCAAGAACCGTGAATAGTCAAATATTTTGCAGCGAATGTGGAAAATTTTCACAATTTTCGTACCCGCGAATTTTGAAATCGGAGATAACGTAATCGCTTATAAGAAACTATATCGTACAAAATACTCGTTTGTATTAGTAAAATACTTAGAACTTACGTTGATAACGACTCTCTCGCAAAAGTCGTGATCGTGTTGAATCGGCTCGAACGTCACCACTCCCCCCTGCGGTGGTCGATTCTGTTCCTCCTCTGGGTTGTACAATTTCGGTAATGACCTGAAACAAATAAACAAAACTTTAGTATCATACATTCCATCAGAAAGAATAATGATGCGCAAAAAGACGACCCTTTGTTTCACGCAAATTTGGATTGATATTGACCAGCCATATGAACTTTAACTGAAATAACCACCCGAGTTAAAAGTTTGATAGTAATTGAAAGTAATTTCGTAATTCCTAGAGGAATCAATTTTCTTAATGTAATAACATATCATTATCTTATTATACGTTACTTTATATATTGAGATAGTTAAGTTACTTAAAATAAAGTTACTTATAACGATCTATACATATTTTATGAAGTATGAAAGAATAGGAGACAAGGTAGTCGGTCGATGCATACTTGAAAGTATTTTTGTTTGCAATATGATAAGACGCAGCGACAAGTGTCAGACTTTAAAAATCGATTCTTGTAGATAAGTTTCACTTTGGGTATAGCAGGGTAGGCGTGTAGCGGGTGGCGGGCGGCGGTCGGTGGTCGGCGGGTGCGCTCTCGGCCCGGCAGCGGTGAGGACCTGAACGTGCTCAACGCTCGCTGCTCGAGGACTCTCCAAAATTTCTCTCCGGTAACGAGTTTTCGTTGTCGCGATTACTCTAAATCCATTAACCTTTTCAAAGCGCTGACGCTTCAACGATTAGCGCTAAGTGATTTGCCATGTCCACATTAATTTTGCGCAAAATAAGTAATGTAGCTGAAAGGACGACTGAATAACTTGTTACTTTATGATTTTATGATTTCCATTAACTTTCTTCTTTTTAAAGTAACATTATAATTCTGAGCGCGTTAGCAAAGGAGAATTCCTAAGTGATGCCAGTCAAAGCGACTTTCTGATTCAATTTCTTACTAATGGATGTTTTTTTTTAAAGCACTTTAACTTATCAAATCAAAAACAATGATGAGTTTAAGCATTAAGCTTTTATTATTTTTTTAGTAAAAGAAAGGTAAGTAACTTCATTACATAACATTAGACTTGCTTTTTCAAAAATAAATAAAATCTTCGTTGAACATGTTTTATAATACTCTGAGTAAATGATGACGTGTTAACGAATTATGAACTGTCCGAAATCTACACTGACCTAGACCTTATCGCAGGTGTTGCATGATACAGTGCACACCAACAGTCAGCAAATATTTAACTAAATAGGTAGATCATAAATGCTAAGTAATTTCAAACCGAGTATCAATTCAAGCTTTATTCATAGTTTTATAATATTTTCATGAAATGTTAACTCCAGTATAATTCGACAATGTCGTAAGTTTAAAAAGGGTGAGTTGAAAAGAAGCTCAAGTATTGTAGTTTTCACTAAATTGCCTCATTTAAGCCTCTTTTTATCTCAGAATATAAAAGGGGAAAATGTCTGCAAGATGCCGGCGATAGCGCCGCCCGCGGCCGCAAAGGAATATTGCAAAATAAAAGAAACAATCCGCTTTCATATTTTTGAATGCAGCCTTTTATAAAACTTTGTTAAAACTAGTTCTTCTCTCAAAGATTTATTATTTATTTTTAACGCCGACGGAAAATATGAATCGCCTTTTAAATCTCCTTGCAAAGATTTATGCGAATAAATTTAAAAATATGTAATTCAAAATAGCTTACTTTCTATCTCTTTGTTAGTTTGCCAGTTAACAGACATAAAGGAAAATTGCGCTTGTGTGAAGAAATTCTCAAAGGAATTGCGTAAATTCTTTATATTTTTTTCAACTCTACATAATATTTAAATCGTCTTTGGTTGATGATAATTCAATTTGTTATTGAAAAATATTCGTTATTTAGAATTGCGAGCTAAATGTATCGGCTAAAATAGATAAATGATTGCTGAAAGAACGTCACAAAGTTCGCCTTCACCATATGTTCGATGAAACGATACTATTAATTACCATCAGATTTATAACTACAATACAACTTATACTCTGGTAGAACGAAAATAACGTTTGCAAAAGAAAGGTATGAAGGAAACATATACTTATTTAAAAAAAAATTGTAAAATCAACGAAAGTAAATAGAAATAAATGTATTTTAATTTATTTTTTGCCATACTACAAAGAAAGGAATAGTAGAAAGTGCCACTGAAGTATGCAGTTTGAGGAAGAGGAAACACGCCAGAAAAGTTAACTTAGAGTGGTGGTGTGGTAGTCAGAGATGACGTAAATATTAAGAAGAAGAAGTTAGACTGTACGGATGACGAAAAAAAAGCCTGTGGATATCATGACTTAAGGAAGAGTGTAAAGGAAATATTAGAAAATGAGCTAGCGAAATTAAGAAGCGTGTCTTACGAAAATCAAATTGTTACTTTGATGTAAATCAATTCACTGTTCCAGAATCTTAAACCGCGCGTATCTCAAACGCCCGATCAAATTATTCATCTAAATATAAATTCGCGCGTGCCGTAGTAAAATCTTTTGCGATACTTTGATTTATTGCAGGCAATAATACGGAAGCGTATCGATTGGTAGCGGTTTTAAACAACCGATGACAAGACGAGATTGCGCATTTTCTTGCATGTTGCATTATCAAAGTAAGTGAGAAACCCACAGATCTAGTAAAACATTTAATATTACTGTACGGTGTTGAAACTAGTGGGAAGAAAGTATTTAATATGGGACATTTTCAAAATAGTTGGTGATTGCTAAACAAACACCAAATTCGTAAAATGACGTGACTAGAGTATTGTTAATTATGAGAAAATGTTTTAAAATCAACATTGATTGTTAATAGACTTATACGCAATAAACAATTGTAATGATTGTTATAAATATACCAATGAAAACAAAGCGCATGTTATGTTTTAGCGATCTGTACGATTATGCAGAACGGTGCGCGGAACATGCGAAAATAATGCCTAAGAGGCTATAGGTAAACAACTTGCGGTTTCGTAAATACGAGTATTTTACGCTTGTGATACGTAAAGCCGTTTTCATCCAGCCTCTAAAATAAGGTTATTCTAATAATAACCGAGTGCGCTGTACGTAATGCGGATTTGGAGAATCACAATAAACACATACGCACACAGGCACACACACGTGCGCGCAAACGACGACCGTGGGAGCGCTCCACAGATTGTGACACGGAGTGACAAGAGGGGAATTGGCCACCAGCACAGCAGTCACGCTGCGCCGCCACGCAACGACCTATAAAACTACATTTACATTTTTTTTTCAAAAGCTATTGAATCGTACAGAACCAATCGAGTGTAAAACCAATACCAACTTCCAACTTGTATTAACGCCGTTCGGTTACGATCAAAGTAAAATAAATACATTCCATATAAAGCCCTTCGAAAACATTTCATGTAAAGGAATCGGAATAGTCAAATAGACCAATTTTGCACAGATTTTTAATATACGAGGCCTTAAATAGTGCGAGGTGATACTATGTTAAAACATATTTTTTAAATAACTGTGATAAAAAGACAACATGGGACATCAAATACAAAACCCTAATAAATGAACGACGAATAAAACACAATTATAATCTTGTTACGTTGTCAACAAATGAATAAATGAGCTCACATTGAACTTTATTTATAATAAGTGATGTAATTAATACTCAGTAGAACAAATGAATGACTATGTCCACTGGCATTCCCGTTCAATTAGATGGTCAATGATCCAAGATCAGTCTTCAGCATAGCGGGGGCGAGTGACGTTTTGGAAGACGTCAGCTATTGTTTTAATCTACACGTCACATCCACATTACAGAATTAGCCAAATCAATTCACTTTTATAATGCAAAAAGATGAACGCACGGCTATCGAAATGGCCAGAAATGATTTTTTTTTATCATAAGGTGGCAAACGAGCGAGCGGCCACGTGAAATCGCTGAAATAGCGAAATGACCGATGCCCATATACATACGCAATTGCATATGCATTGCCTACCTTTAATCGACGGAGGAGAGGATGCACAGAAATAAAATATTTTCCCTTCCCATGCATCCTCACGTCCGGAAAGTCCACTTCCACTTCCCATCCTTTCCTTATAAGAAAAAGGATGGGAAGGGAAAGAGGACTAAATTAGGCCTCCGGGACGCACACTCATCAGACGAAACGCGAAACCGCTTCCACTTCACGCCTCTCCTCTGTGTGGTCGTGGTATTTCACCGGGCGAGCCTGGCCATTTCGTGCGAAGATGTTAAAGCGGGCTCTACCACTGTTATGAATACTGAATGACCGTAGCCTCTTAAGATAGAAAATGTATTTATTTATTGATATTATCGCTCATATTTCTTCATTACGAATTAACCATGACTTTTAAGTGCTGAATATTTAATAATCAGGCTGTCCATTTTATGGAATATAAGCATTTCATATAATTCTAAGAACCGGCAACGCCATTTATAAGCCTGACCTTTAGACATCCTTAGGCTTGAAATATTGGTCCTTCTTGAGAAGATATAAACTCATAGTGTTCACGTAACGAAGAAACTTTTTTTAATGGAACGAAGCTGTTAAAAGTTCGCCTGTTGGAAGAAAGTTTTAAATGAAAGTTTGCCATTGTTAAACGAACGAACAATAGAATCCACGGGCTTTGTCGTGTTAATCAAAACTTAGTAGAAACTTGGAAGCTTGATTGTGTTTGATGCAGTCTTAAAAGATTATAGTGGAATGGTACTTGTGTAGTTATTATTATAAACAATTGAGATATTGACGGGATTAGTATTGCCGACGGTTTATCCTGTCGCATATTTAGTACCTATTATGGGTTTTTTGAAAATTCATACTCACCTATTGATTACCAAAGAAAGAACTTAATGTTCTATAATGTAGACTTAATGAGACAAATTAACTCTAAGAGCCTGCCTAATAACCAATTTTTTTTCTATAAAATATTATATTAGCAGATTTATTTTTTGTAAATTTACTAATATTTCTTTTACCATTCCAACTAAGCTCTAGGCCTGTGCTAGGATATGGATTACGACGATAATCGAATGGCGGGATTCGAACCCCCGACCTCGTGATCGGAAATCCTACCCTTGACTATTAGGCTATTGACG